CTAAAAATACAAAATTAGCAGGGTTCGGTTGTGCATGCCTGTAATCCCAGCTACTCGGGAGGCTGAGGCAGGAGAATCGCTTGAATCCGGGAGGCAGAAGTTGCAGTGAGATCGAGCCTTTGTACTCCAGCCTGGGCAAAGTTCATCAGCAAGGCCAGTGAGTCCCTGCATGGGCAGCCCCTGCCACTCTCCCCTGCATCCACACACCATCTACATGGCTTTCTGCTCTTGGAGGGAGGTATCCCAAGCACGCTTTTACTCCTGCCCAGACACTCTCCCCAGATCCTGGCACAACTGCCCCCTCCTTAGGATTCAGGTCTCACTGTGGATGTCCCTGTGAGAGCCACCCCCAGGTGTTTTCCATCACGTTATCCTATCCTGTCACCCCCCCAGCACTTAGAAGCATCTGAGATTATCTTCTGTTGTTTCTCCAATTTAGTGTCAGCTCCATGGGGGCAAGGATTTGTGTCTGTTCTGTTTATTGTTAAATTCCCATTAAAACTGTCCCTCAGGGCCGGGCGCGGTGGCTCACGCCTGTAATCCCTGCACTTTGGGAGGCTGAGGCGGGCGGATCATGAGGTCAGGAGATGGAGACCATCCTGGCCAACACAGTGAAACCCTGTCTCTACTAAAAATACAAAAAATTAGCCAGGCGTGGTGGCAATTGCCTGTAATCCAAGCTACTCGGGAGGCCGAGGCAGGAGAATGGCCTGGACCCGGGAGGCGGAGCTTGCAGTGAGCTGAGATCGTGCCACTGCACTCCAGCCTGGGCCACAGAGCGAGACTCCGTCTCAAAAACAAAACAAAACAAAAAACAAAAAAAACCCTGTCCCTTGGTATTCTCAAGGGATTGGCTCCCTCCCATAGACACCAAAATCCGAGGATCCTCAAGTCCTTGACGTAAAATAAATTGGTTCAGTATTTGCATTTAACCTACACACATCCTCCTGTATACTTTAAATCATCTCTTGATTACTTATAATATCTAATATAACGTAACCACTATGAAAATATATTATTGGCTGGCACGATGGCTCACACTTGTAATCCCAGCACTTTGGGAGGCTGAGGTGGGTGGATCACTTGAGCCCAGGAGTTCAAGACCAGCCTGGGCAACATGGCAAAACTCCATCTCTACAAAAATTAGCCAGGCATGGTGGTGCACGCCTGTGATCCCTCCCAACTACTTGGGACAATGAGATGGGAGGCTCACTTGAGCCCAGGAGGCAGAGGCTGTGATGAGCTGAGATAGCACCTCTGTACTCCAGCCTGGGTGACAGAGTGAGACCCTGTCTCAAAGAAAAATAAAATATATCTATTGTTTAGGAAATAATGACAAGAAAAAAATTCTGTACATGTTCAGTACAGATGCAATTTTGGTTTTGAATATTTTTGATGCAAAGTTGGTTAAATCCACAGATGCTGTGGACTAGACTAGGAAGTGCTAGGCATACACAATATTTGTTGACTAGTGGCTGCACAGATGTATATGCAGACATACTCGCCCCCACAACAATATTCAAATACATCACATTAATAGACAAATATACAGATATGGGCAAAAATACCTCCCCACACATTCACAGAACAGACTCAACAGTCACAAAAACACCCAGGAGTCCCTTTTCCATCCCCACAGGAGTCAGTCCTGGTCCTCCCCCATCTAGATATGCCCTCCACTTGAACCCAGTCTCGGGACTGGGGGAGTAGGGGTCTGCAGCCCGGACAGAGAAAGGGTCGCTGGCCCACAGGCCTCAGGCAGCGCCTTCAGCTATGTCTGCAATTTCCTCTCCCCCTTCCCTCCTCCTCTCTAAGGCTCCCGCCAAGACGGCCTCCCCCTCATCCTAGCTCCAACAAGGGAGGGGAGGCACATGATGGGGGGCCCCGGGGAGACAGGGCAGAAAGAAGCCCCCAGCCACACACACTGATCACACATCACATTGCATGCACAAGCCCAGGTGGGAAATGCGTGTGTGAGCACAGGTAGGTTTAGCCTTGGGGTGGGGGGCGGGATGGGGTGGGATCTGCCACAAGCCGCCACAAGCTGCTTGGTGCACAAGAGCTCAGGAGCTTGCAGGCACAGAGGCCCCACGCTGGGGACTGCGAGGCTGCTGGACGGTGCCTGGCTCAAAGCTGGAGTCTAACAATCATTAACCCTGCGTGACCAGACCAGAGCTCGGCCAGGGGGCACATTCAAGCCTGGGCCCAGGGAGGAGGGGTGGACAGTCCCCTCCCTTCCAGACCGGCATGGGTCTGGGGAAGAGAAGCAGCCTTCCCTGGATGGGGCCTCCTAGGAGGGGGAGCGGTGGGTTTTGAGCTCAGGCTTTAGGGTCAGAGAACAGCAGGTTCAAATCCCGACAGTTTTTGTAAAGTCAATTCAATCTCTCCAAGACTCTGTTTATATTATCTGCGAAGTGGGGATAATGGTACCACGTCGTAGGGTTGTCAGCCGGAGTAAGTCAAAGAACCTGTCCAGGGTTTAGCCCTCGGCCCGCACGCAGGCAGAGCTCCAGCCTCGCTGTTGTTGTTGTTAGTGGCCTGGGGGCGGGTCCCTGCCGCGGCCTCCCCGGCGGTTTCCTGTGGAGGACGGACGGCCCGCGGGCCGAGATCTCCCTCCTCCCGGCTGCCCGCTCCTCTCCCCTTCCTCTCCCAGCCCTTTTCCTCCCCGCCTCCCCGCCCGCCCCGCCCCGTCCCTCCTCTTTCCTCGGAGGAAACTTTCCGCCGGCTCGTCCCTCGGCCCGTGTCCCGCCCGCGCTGCCGCGGTCTGGGAGCCCAGCGGGGCCGGAGGGGCGGCGGGACCGGAGCGGGTGGGGGCGGCCGGGCCCAGTGTATGCGGCCGCTGGACGCGCCAGGGCCGGGCAGCCGGGAAGCGGGGCGCTGACGGTGAGTGGGCCCGGCCCCGGGCCGGTGGGTCCCCGCAGGGCGGCCGGGCGAGGAGGGAGGCGGTTTCCCTTCCCGGAGCCCGCCTGGGGCGTGGAGGCTCAGTGTTCCTATCCTCCATCCCGTCCGGGGACAGCGGAACCGGGCCTCAGCTGGGGACCTCACCAGGGGGCGGGGCCTCCCGCGGTCCCCGGCGCTGCTCCCCGGGCTGGAGGGGCGTCCGCGCCCGGGAGAGGGGTTCCCCCCGGCAGGGCCGAGGGCCGCCACGAAGTTAGGGAAGCGCTCTTTCCAGGGTGGAACCTGGGGCCGCGGCTCCCGGGAGAGAAGGAGCTGCCCGCGGAAGGGGTCGGGGTGGGCTCCAGGCTGGGAGGAGGATCTGACTTTGCTGACCTCGCAGGCTGGCAGGGGAGCTGCCCCCCAGAGCAGCATGGATGCCCCGCGAAGGGACATGGAGTTGCTCAGCAACAGCCTGGCTGCCTACGCGCACATCCGCGGTGAGGGCGGGCGCCGGAAGACTGGGGGCCTGAACCCTTCCCTGCCCACCATCCCCTTCCCTCCCCAGCGCCTTGCCCGTCCCCTCCGCCCCGCTCCCCGCCCCCTTGCCCGCTGGCGGTTCCCTAATGCCCTTCGAGTAGGGGTTACGGGCCTCGTCCCCACACCTTGAACCTGGGGTCTGTTGGAAGTGGGACGACCCTCACTCGCCCGGCCCTCTCCGTGACCCCCGCCCTGTGCCCCGCAGCCAACCCCGAGAGCTTCGGCCTCTACTTCGTGCTGGGCGTCTGCTTCGGCCTGCTGCTCACCCTCTGCCTGCTCGTCATCAGCATCTCGTGGGCGCCCCGCCCGCGGCCCCGGGGCCCGGCTCAGCGCCGGGACCCCCGCAGCAGCACCCTGGAGCCCGAGGACGACGACGAGGACGAGGAGGACACAGTGACGCGGCTGGGCCCCGACGACACGCTGCCGGGCCCCGAGCTGTCCGCGGAGCCCGACGGGCCTCTCAGTGTCAACGTCTTCACATCGGCGGAGGAGCTGGAGCGGGCGCAGCGGCTGGAGGAGCGTGAGAGGATCCTGCGGGAGATCTGGCGCACCGGGCAGCCGGACCTGCTGGGCACAGGCACGCTGGGGCCCAGCCCCACGGCCACGGGCGCGGGCACCCTGGGCCGCATGCACTATTACTGATGGGCCCCGGCTCCCGCTGCAAGGCACTTGGGGTACCGGACCTGCACATGAGCCCAGACCTGCTCCGGACCTTCGGACTGCCTCGGCCCTCACGGCCCCCAGGTGCTACTGGGCGTGGACCGCCAGCCCCCGCGAGTCTCTCTTCCCCGGTCCTGCCAGAAGACCCCAGGGGCGGGGAGGGGGCAGGATGCAGGGTCCCCACTCCCTCTCTGGGGGTGATGAAGAGGTGAAGTGACCAAATGAAAGAAAGCTGCATTCTCAGTGACTCAGTCTCTCCCTCTGTTACTCCTGCCCCCAGCGGCCCCCAGGCTCCTGCCACGCAGGGGTCCTAGGGCTGAGGCCCCCCCTTGACTCCCTTACCCTAGCTGCACCACCCCCACCCACCAACCCCCCGACACAGCACACCTGCCCGCGTTCACTTCACAGCCAGCGGAAAGGCAGAAGGCCACAGGCCTGCACCCAGCCTCACACACAGAGCAAGTGCACGCGCATTCCTCACTCACAACGCATTCCTTACCGGCAAACGCCTGGGCACACGTAGCCCTGTCCCCACAGTGCCTTGGGTTCATACATTGCAATGACACACACACACCAGGCCTCGGGACCCTGACCTAGAGACTAAGGTCCTACTAGCCCTGGTGTAAACATGCGTGCTGGGCTGGGCCGTTCACGTCTTCACCGAGGTGCGTTCAAACGAGAGGGCAGGGGTCCCTCTGAGCGGACAGGGAGGCCAGCTGGGAGGGGTCCGAGCTCGCGAGAAGGCCCGTTCGGCTCCTCCCCGGCGCACAGCTGGATTCCGGAATCTAGGCCGGGCGCCAGAGCCCGACCCCGCCTGGGCCCCTCCTGCCCGCCATTTCTCCAGCACGCTGCTGGCGTCCGAAGGAGACACCATCCCCCGCCCCTCACCATCCGGTGGATAAAAATAGCCGCGCGCAGGCCTTGGGAACGGTAATGGGAGCCACATGTTGGACAGATGTGCCCGGGAGGGACCGTCAGGAATGCGGAGGCCCAGGCCCTGCCCCCGCGCAGACCCCGCCCCTAGCGACCAGACCGGCGTGGCCCCTTGCGAGGCAGAGTTTACTTTCTCGCGTTTCCCAAAGTCGTGTGCAAGGACGTGGGTGGCCCCAGCCAGGACGGGCCGCGGTCCCTTCCCAGGCCCGCCCTCAGTAGGTCTGCGTCTGCGCGTGGATGATGCGCCGGGTCTGGGACTTCTGGGTCCCCTGCATCACCTGGACCTGGCCGGGAGTGAGGTGGAGACTGTGTCAGGGGGCCACCCGCCACCAGCCCGCTCCCGCCAGGACCCGCGCCTCACCTCCAGCCGCTGGCGCTGCTCCTTCTCGCTCTTCAGCTCCTCCCAGATGTCGGTCAGCTTCCTCCTGCGGGCCAAGGCGGAGGTGAGGCGCTGGGCAGGTGAGGGCTAGGGGGGACCCTACCTTCCACAACCCCCGCCGCTACCCACTCACTCCAGCTGCACCCCCATCAGCTCCAGCGCCCTCCTTAGAGACTCCACCTCGCCCCTCAGCGACGTTACATCGACTCCCTCATTCTTGTTTTCCGTGTAGTTTTGCGGAAGCAAGGAGGGGAGCGTGAGTGTCTCTTGGGAGTCTGGAGACGGCTTGATAGGATGTATTTTTTGGGCAAAGGCTGTTTCTATAGGGGGCACCTCCTCTTTTGGAGCCACTTCCTCTTTCGGGGTCACCTCCTCTTTGGAAGCCACTCCCTCTTTGGGGAGCACCTCTTTGGAAGCCACTCCCTCTTTGGGGAGCACCTCCTCCTTGGAAGCCACTCCCCCTTTGGGGAGCACCTCTTTGGAAGCCACTCCCTCTTTGGGGAGCACCTCCCCTTTTGTGGACCACTCCCTCTTTGGGGAGCACCTCCTCTTTGGAAGCCACTCCCACTTTGGGGAGCACCTCCCCTTTGGAAGCCACTCCCTCTTTCGGGAGCACCTCCTCTCTCAGAGGCCTTTCCTCGTTGGGGGATGCCTCCTCTTCAGGGGTCCTCTCCTCTTTGGAAGATGCCTCCTCTAGAAGCGTTGTAGCCTCTGCCTGGGGGTGGGGCTTCTCAAGAGCAGGCCTGGACGCTGGCCCAGACTTCAACTCAGCCTGGTGTGGGGAGCTGTCCCCTCTAACTAGGGGGCATTTCATCTCTCCCAGGCACCTCTCTGAGGAAGGAGGCTGGAGTGGGGGTGCCTCTGGTGTGTGGGCCTTCTCCTGGGATGATGGAGCCTCTTTGGCTACAAAGGACTTGACCTTCTGCAGGGCTTCCTCCGAAGAGAAGTGATGGAATTGAGTGTCATCTCTGGTGGACACCTCTTCTTCAGAAAGCTCTGGGGTCAAGACCTTTTCTCGGGTGGGGGCCTCATCCCCCAGAGGGGCCATCTTTGGATCAGGGACTTTATCCATTGGTGGGACTCCTGGGCCATTGGCCTCTTCCACTGAAAAGAGCCTCTCTGGAGTGGAGGGTTTGTCCACAGTCAGGGCCTCCTCTGGGATGGAGTTCTCTGGGATAGAGGCCTTGTCCTCTGGAGTCACCATCCTCTCTGGGGTGGGGACTATGTCAGGAGCTGGGATCTTCCCCGAGGTGGAGTTCCCTGGGATAGAGGCCTTGTCGCCTAGAGTGAGGGTCTTCTCTGGGGAGGGGACCTTGTCAGGAACTAGGATCTTCTTGGAGCAGGGGGCATTCTCTGGAGCTGGGGGCCTCTCTGGAGTTGTGGTCTTGTCCAGCATGGGGGTTCTCTTCACAGAGGGGGCCTTTGCTGGGCTGCTGTGCTCTTCCTCCTGCCATGATGGGAGGTGAAGTCTCAGCTGAGGTTGAGTCTGGTTCCCCTTGGCCTGGGAGACTTCACCCGTGCACACCACAGCTAGGAACCAGCCTCTGCCCAGCATCCCCTCTCCCATGTCTCCTGCCCCTCACCTGACTGGACACAGAGCGTTGCTGGGGAGTCTGGGTTTTGGATCGCTTTCGGCCAGGGTGACACGAACCCCCACTTTGGAAGCCACCATTGGGGCCTAAGAGAGCAGAACTTCAGGGACCCAAGCCTACTCTGACCCTCAGTCTCTTCCCACCTCTGTCCATCCGCACAGCCACCCCATCCCTGTCCTCCCGTCCTCCCTGCACTGGACAGCAGCCCTTACCTGAGTCTCGGGAAGTGAGCTTCTGACTGTCGCTGCTGGGTGTCCGAGATGTCCTGGAACATATCTTCATCAGGCCCTCAGGGTGGGGCACAGGGAGGGGTGTTCCTTCTACCCTCCTCCTTCCCCCAACCCCATCCTGCTCCTTACTTGGCTTTGCTGGGCCCAGTGGCGGCTGTCGCTAGTTTCTTGACTGTGGGGAGGGATGTTTTCGGCATCAGCTTTTTTGGTTCCTTAATAGGAGCTGGGAAGAGAGAGGAGTGGAGCATTCATCCATCTGACAGTCGCTGGCCCTGTCTTGTGCTGTATGCAGGGGACTGTGGGCAGGAGGCTAATCTTGTCTGAGTATGCGCCACCACACCCGGCTAATTTTTCTATTACTATTATTATTATTATTATTTTGAGACGGAGTCTCGCTCTGTGCCCAGGCTGGAGTGCAGTGGCGCGATCTTGGCTCACTGCAAGCTCTGCCTCCCGGGTTCACGCCATTCTCCTGCCTCAGCCTCCCTAGTAGCTGGGACTACAGGCGCCCGCCACCATGCCCGGCTAGTTTCTTTTTGTATTTTTAGTAGAGATGGGGCTTCACCGTGTTAGCCAGGATGGTTTTGATCTGACCTCGTGATCCGCCTGCCTCGGTCTCCCAAAGTGCAGGGATTACAGGCGTGATTACACTGCGCCTGGCCAATTTTTGTGGGTTTTTTTTTTTTTTTTTGAGATGGAGTCTCGCTGTCGTCCAGGCTGGAGTGCAGTGGCGCGATCTTGGCTCACGGCAAGCTCTGCCTCCCGGATTCACCCCATTCTCCTGCCTCAGCCTCCTGAGTAGCTGGGACTACAGGTGACCGCCACCACACCCAACTAATTTTTTGTATATTTAGTAGAGACAGGGTTTCACCGTGTTGGCCAGGATGGTTTTGATCTCCTGACCTCGTGATCCGTCCACCTTGGCCTCCCAAAGTGCTGGGATTACAGGCGTGAGCCATCGCACCCAGCCCACCCTCAGAATTCTTTATCTTCTCTCTCATTTACTCTCTAGAGATACCACCCAGTCTTATCGATTTAATTATCAATAAGTCAATGATTCCCAAATTTTCATCTCTAGCTCCTTCCTCTCTGACTCCAGACTCATATCTGACTTCCCTCTCAATACTTACACTTGGAGAGCTGATGGGCATCACACTGTTAGCATATCCCAAACCAATCTCTTGCTTCCCAAACCCATGACCCTTGAATCTACCCCTCTCCCCACGGTCCCCATCTGGCCCATTTACCCACTTGTTTGGATGACAGATGACTCCTTTTATTTCCTTGTGAGGCACATCCAAACCATCAGTAAATCCTGTCCACACTACTGTCCAGGTATTTCCTGAATTCCATCACTTGTCACCACCTCCACCACTAAGTGCTCTAGATCAAGTCACCGTCACCTTCACCTGGACATTCCAACAGCCTCCAACCTGGGTTTTGGCTGTACCCACCCCACCTAGAGTGTGTTCTTCCCACAGCAGCCAGACTGAGCTCGTGTTCTATTGGGGAAGCAGACATAAATACAAGGAGTAAAATACATAGTGTGTTAAAGAGTTATTAAGTGTGACTGACAAGACTAGGCAGAGGGGCTGGGCACGGTGGCCCACACCTGTAATCCTGACACTTTGAGAGGCCAAGGTGGGCAGATCACTTGAGGTCAGGAGTTCAAGACCAGCCTGGTCAACATGATGAAACCCCGTCTCTACTAAAAACACAAAAATTAGCCAGGCATGGTGTCGTGCACCTGTAATCTCAGCTACTCTGGCTGAGGCAGGAAAATCACTTGAACCCAGGAGGGCAGAGGTTGTAGTGAGCCAAGATCGCGCCACTGTACTCCAGCCTGGGCGACAAGAGTAAAACTCTGTCTCAAAAAAACAAAACAAAACAAAAAAACACTAGGCAGAGGAAGGAACCATTTTAAATGGGGTGGCCAGAGAAGGGCACACTAAGGTGACATGAGCATCGCCTGAAGGCAGTTACACACAGTGACATTCAGATCCTTAGAAAAACAGCCACTCTGGCTTGTGCACAAGTGCTGATGTTAACTCCTATATATAATCACACGCAGATACGTATACAAATCCACAAATCTGACAGTGGGGGCATGGATCCCACAGCCAGACACCAGGCTCTGAATTTCAGCTCCACTCCTTGCTAGTTGTGTGGGAACTTGCCAAGTGATCTATGCCTCAGTGTCCTCATTTATAAAACATGGACAACTAACACCTTTGTAGGGTGGTTGTGAGGTCTGAGTGACTTTTAATACATGCGAGGTGCCCAGAAGACTGTTTGGCAGCCAGATGGTCAAAGCTCAGTAAATGTTAACTTTGACTTCTGCTTCTTTTTTTTCTTTTGAGACGGAGTCTCGCTGTGTCGCCCAGGCTGGAGTGCAGTGGCGCGATCTCAGCTCACTGCAAGCTCCGCCTCTCGGGTTCACGCCATTCTCCTGCCTCAGCCTCCCGAGTAGCTGGGACTACAGGCGCCCGCCACCACGCCTTGCTAGTTTTTTGTATTTTTAGTAGAGACGGGGTTTCACCGTGTTAGCCAGGATGGTCTTGATCTCCTGACCTCGTGATCCGCCCGCCTCGGCCTCCCAAAGTGCTGGGATTACAGGCGTGAGCCACCGCGCCTGGCCGACTTCTGCTTCTTACACGGTATGGCTGATTAGATGCTCTGTAGGGTGCTCCCATCAGAAAGCAATTATGTCCTGCTGAGGACACAATTTTGAGGCACTGTTGGAGTTAAAAGGTAAAGGAGGTCTACAGAAGAGAGGACTGGGCCAGGTGCAGTGGCTCACACCTGTAATCCCAGAACTCCCAGTGGCTCACGCCTATAATCCCAGCACTTTGGGAGGCTGAGGTGGGAGGATCAACTTGAGGTCAGGAGTTCAAGATCAGCCTGACCAACATGGTGAAATCCCATCTCTACTAAAAAATACAAAAATTAGCCAGGTGTGGTGGCGGGCGCCTGCAGTCCCAGCTATTTGGGGGGCTGAGGCAGGAGAATCACTTGAACCTGGGAGGTGGAGGTTGCAGTGAGCCAAATCATGCCATTGCACTCCAGCCTGGGTAACAAAAGCAAAACTTAGTCTCAAAAAAAAAAAAAAAAAAAAAGATAAAAAAAAAAAGAGAGAGAACTGAAGCCAGAAAGGCAGAGGGAGGGCAGCTCTGCTCTGTGGCTACTGAGCCTGGGCCCTGTGGTGTGAAGCCAGGGCCCTGGGCTCTGCTTCCTCAGCTCACCACAGGCCCCGAGCTCAGTACCACACAGCAGTGCCACCTTTCTTCAGGAGGACCGAAGCGGCTTCTGGTGGGTGGTGTTCTCTGGCCACTGGCAGAAGTAAAAGCAAATTCTCGGCCGGGTACGGTGGCTCATGCCTGTAATCCCAACACTTTGTGGGGCCAAGGCAGGTGGATCACCTGAGGTCAGGAGTTCGAGACCAACCTGGCCAACATGGTGAAACCTCATCTCTGCTAAAACTACAAAAATTAGCCGGGCATGGTGGCACATGCCTGTAATCCCAGCTACTAGGGAGGCTGAAGCACGAGAATCGCTTGAACCCGGAAGGAGGAGGTTGCAGTGACTGAGATCACATCACTGCACTCTAGCCCAGGTGACAGAGCAAGACTTCATCTCAAAAAAACAAAACAAAAAATAAAAGCAAATTCTCGCTGGAAGAAGTCTTCTTCTACTAAGACCTGCAAGAGTCCCACAGATTAAAATCCAGCTATCAACTCATAAACAAAGGTCACAAAACACGCCAGAGGGCAGGTCACCAAGAATGGAGTCAGCAGACATAACATACAACAGATAGTGGAAGTGTCAGGTGGAGAATACTGAATAGCTATGTATAACATATTTGAAGAAATTCAGGATGTGCATGGAACAAAGGACAATCAGGAATAACCACACAGGTTTGGAAAATTACCACATAGAAATCGGAAATACTAGAGATGAAAAATAGCATTCTTGAAAAAAAAAATGCAACATAAATCCACTTACTTATATGCATATTGCTTATGTTGCCAGTACAGGTTACAGAGCAAACAGAGCCAAAAGGCTAGAGAGAGAATTTATAAACTAGAGGTGCAGTGAGACAAGGAATGCACAGAATGAGAGCAATGTTAGGAGGGAGGAATGACAGAAGCAGGGCTTGGCTCTGGCTGAATGAGGTGGTGGACAAATCCTCTCCTCACAAGGCAACTATGAAGCTGGACAAAAATGATCCAACAGGCCGGGCGCAGTGGTTCACACCTGTAATCCCAGCACTTTGGGAGGCCGAAGTGGGCGGGTCACCTGAGGTCAGGAGTTCGAGACCAGTTTGGCCAACATGGTGAAACCCCCTCTCTGCAAAAATACAGAAATTAGCCGGGCATGATGGTGGGTGCCTGTTATCCCAGCTACTCAGGAGGCTAACAGGGGAGAATCACTTGAACCCAGGAGGTGGAGGTTGCAGTGAGCCGAGATTGTGCCATTGTACTCCAGTCTGGGAGACAGAGTGAGACTCCTTCCCTACCCCCAAAAAAAGAAGAAAAAAAAAAATCCAACAACCATTTCAATGCTCTGGAAATTATCCAAAGGCATGAGATACTTTGCGAAGGATTTTTTTTTTTTTTTTTGAGACAGTCTCGCTCTGTCACCCAGGCTGGAGGGCAGTGGCGCGATCTCCGCTCACTACAACCTCCACCTCACAGGTTCAAGCGATTCTCATGCCTTAGCCTCCCAGATAGTTGGGATGACAGGCGCCTGCCACCACGCCCTGCTAATTTTTGTATTTTTTGGTAGAGACAGGGTTTCACCACGTCGGCCAGGCTGTTCTCAAACTCGTGACCTCAAGCAATGTGCCCACCTCAGCCTCTCAAAGTGCTGGGGTAATTTGCAGAGCATTTTGTATGCTTGATAATGTTCTTGCCTAGGGCTGCTTTCATCCCCGGCCCCTCAGCTTGGTCCACATGGATGTTCTGCGGGGTAGGGCAAACTGAGGATCAGCAGCTTCACTGGCTAAGTTGAAGGCATCTCAATTTGGAGTGTAATCTTGGGATCTGACATTGGTTCAAAAGCACAGCCAACCAAAAAATTAGATAAATGGAACTTCATCAAAATGTAAAACTTTTGTACATCAAGGGACACCAACAAGAAGTGAAAAGACAACCTGAAGAAAGAGAAAAACTTTGGGAGGATGAGGTGGATGGATTAAAAGGTCAGGAGTTCAAGACCACTTGGGCAACATGGTGAAACCCCGTCTCTACTAAAAATACAAAAATTAGCCAGGTGTGGTGGCGCACACCTGTCATCCCAGCTACTTGGGAGGCTGACCCAGGAAAATCGCTTGAACCCGGGAGGGGGAGGTTGCAGTGAGCTGAGATTATGCCACTGTATTCCAGCTTGGGCAACAGAGCAAGACTTAAAAAAAAAAGGGAGAATGGGAGAAAATATTGCAAACCATATATGCATATATGTGATTAGGGACTTCTATCTAGAATATATAGAGAACTCTTCTAACTCAATAGTAAAAAGACAAATAATCCAATTTTTTAAATAGGCAAAGGATCCAAACAGACATTTCTCCAAAAGAAATAAGCACATGAAAATATGCTCAGCATCATTAGCCATCAGAGAAATGCAAATCAAACCCATAATGAGATACCACTTCATACCCACCAGGACAGTTTTCATTAAAAAGATAACAGAAAGAGCTGAGTGAAGTGCCTCACAACTGTAATCCCAGTATTTTGGGAGGCCAAAGCAGGAGGATCACTTGAGCATAGGAATTCCAGATCAGCCTGGGCAACATAGCAAGACCTTTTCTCTACGATAAACTTAAAAACTAGCCAGGTGTGGTGGTGCACACCTATAGTCCTAGCTACTCGGGAGGCTGCAGTGGGAGGATCACTTAAGGTCTGAGGCTGCTGCGAGCTCCAATTGTGCCACCACACTCCAGCCTAGGCAACAGAGCAAGACCCTATCTCTCCAAAATAAAAGAGTATACTATGAACAACTTTATGCAAATAATTAGAAAACTTACATAAAATATACAATTAAAAACATGTAACTCCACAACTGATTCAAGAATTTTACCCTGACTTTTGTTTAACTATTAAAGAAATTGAAGAAGTTGTTTAAAATAATCCCATAATGAAAAAAATATGGCAAGATGAATTTACAGACAAGTTTTACCAGCTTACAAGGAAAGATGATTCCCATCTTATTTATTTATTTAGAGACAGAGTCTCGCTCTGTCACCCAGGCTGGAGTGCAGTGGCGCGATCTCGGCTCACTGCAACCTCTGCCTCCTGGGTTCAAGCAATTCTCCTGTCTCAGCCTCCTGAGTAGCTGGGACTACAGGCATGTGCCACCACACCTGGCTATTTTTTTGTATTTTGAGTACAGACGGGGTTTCACTGTGTTAGCCAAGATGGCCTCGATCTCCTGACCTCATGGTCTGCCCGCCTCAGCCTCCCAAAGTGCTGGGATTACAGGTATGAGCCACCATGCCCAGCCGATTCCCATCTTATATAAGATCCACCAGATAGACCAGGCATAGTGGCTCACACCTGTAATCCCAGCATTCTGGGAGGCCGAGCCAGGCAGACCACAAGGTCAGGAGTTTGAGACCAGCCTTGCCAACATGGTGAAACCCTATCTCTACTAAAAATACAAAAAAATTTAGCCGGATGTGGTGGTGCACACCCGTAGTCCCAGCTATTTGGGAGGCTGTGACAGAATCAAGTGATTCTCCTGTCTTAGCCTCCCAAGTAGTGTGCACCACCATGCCCAGCTAATTTTATATTTTTAGTAGAGATGGAGTTTCACTATGTTAGCCAGTCTGGTCTTCGAGACCAGGACGCAGTGGCTCACGCCGGTAATCCCAGCACTTTGGGAGGCTGAGGCAGGCGGATCATGAGGTCAGGAGTTCGAGACCAGCCTGACCAACATAGTGAAACCCCGTCTCTACTAAAAATACAAAAACTAGCCACGTATGGTGGTGCACACCTGTAATCTCAGCTTCTTGGGAGGCTGAGGCAGGAGAATTGCTTGAACCCGGGAGGTGGAGGTTGCAGTGAGCTGAGATTGCGCCACTGCACTCCAGCCTGGGCAACAGAACAAGACGCTATCTCAAAAGAAAGAAAAAAGAAGAAAAACGAAAACTAGATTCAAAATCAGGAACATGACGATGATGTTCACCATCACTATTTCTATTTAACATCATATGAGAGATCCTAATTGCTATAATAAATTAATAAAATGAAATTAAAAGACAGGAATTAAGAGAATGAAACAAAAATTATTCACGAATGACATGTCTGTCTTCATAGGAAACTTATAAGAATCTACAAATGAATTACTAGAAATAATCAGAGTTTAGCACCATGGCTGGCTATAAAAACAATATACAAAAATCAATGCACTTCTGTATTCCTGCAATAAACAGAAGAATGTCTGTTTTTTTAAAGACACATTAAAAACTCTGAGATACCTAAGAATATCTGGGAATAAACCTCATGAAAAATTCTAGTTTTATGGCCGGGTGCAGTGGCTCACGCCTGTAATCCCAGCACTTTGGGAGGCCGAGGCAGACAGATCATGAGGTCAGAAGATCAAGACCATCCTGGCTAACATGGTGAAACCCCATCTCTACTGAAAATACAAAAAATTAGCCAGGCATGGTAGCGGGCGCCTGTAGTCCCAGCAAGTCAGGAGGCTGAGGCAGGAGAATGGCATGAACCTGGGAGGCGGAGGTTGCAGTGAGCCGAGATCGCGCCACTGCACTCCAACCTGGGCGACAGAGCGAGACTCTGCCTCAAAAAAAAAAAAAAAAAAAAAATTATAGATTATAGTTTTATGTATAAAACTAAGCCAGGCACTGTGGCTCACGCCTCTAATCCCAGCACTTTGGGAGGCCAAAACAGGAGAATTGCTTGAGCCCAGGACTTCAAGACCAGCCTGGGCAACACAGTGAGACCCTGTCTCTACAAAAAGATTAAAAGATTAGCTGCACATGGTGGCTTGTGCCTGTAGTCCCAGCTACAAGAGAGGCTGAGGTGGAAGAATCGCTTAAGCCCAGGAGGTGGAAGCTGCAATGAGCTACAATTGCCACTGCACTCCAACCAGGGTAACAAAGACCCAATGACCCTTTCTCGAAAAGAAAAAAGAAACCCCCAAAATTGTATAAAACTCACATGTAGAAAATAATAAATGATGCTGGAACAACTCATTGTCCATAGGGAAAAAGGTATAATTGTATCACTCATTAAAATTATTACTACATGAATAAAAGCACTAATATGAATAGCAACATTTTAAAAGTTTTAATATAGATGATTATCCTTCTAAACTTGGAGCAGGAAATGATTTCTTTTTCTTTTTTTTTTTTTTTTGAGACAGAGTCTCACTCTGTTTCCCAGGCTGAAGTGCAGTGGTGCCATCTAGGCTCACTGCAATCTCCATCTCCTGGGTTCAAGCGATTCTCACGCCTCAGCCTCCCAAGAAGCTGGGATTACAGGTGCCCGCCACCATACCTGGCTAATTTTTGTATTTTTAGTAGAGACGGGGTTTCACCATGTTATTCAGGCTGGTCTCAAACTCCCGACCTGGTGATCCGCCTCACTCAGCCTCTCCAAGTGCTGGGATTACAGGCATGAGCCACTGTGCCCTGGTCTCGAAGACCAGACTGGCTAACATAGTGAAATCCCATCTCTACTAAAAATACAAAATTAGCTGGGCATGGTGGTGCACACTACTCGGGAGGCTAAGACAGGAGAATCACTCGAACCCGGGAGGCAGAGGGCAGTGAGCTGGGATTACACCACTGCACTCCAGCCTGGGATTACAGGGATGCCCACCACGCCTGGCTAATTTTTATATTTTTAGTAGAGACAAGGTTTTGCCATGTTGGCCAGGCTGGTCTTGAACTCCTAACCTCAGGTGATCCACTTGCCTTGGCCTCCCAAAGTGCTGGGATTACAGGCGTGAACCACTGTGCCTTGCCTGTGGGTGTTAAATTTTATAACATATGTGTTACATATACTTTTGACATGTGTCAAATATTACATTAAAAGATAAGTAAGGCTGGGTGCGGTGGCTCACGCCTGTAGTCCCAGCACTTTGGGAGGCCGAGGCGGGTGGATCATGAGGTCAGGAGATCGAGACCATCCTGGCTAACATGGTGAAATCTCGTCTCTATGAAAAATACAAAAAATTAGCTGGGTGTGGTGGCAGGCGCCTGTAGTCCCAGCTACTTGGAAGGCTGAGGCAGGAGAATGGTGTGAACCCAGGAGGCAGAGCTTGCAGTGAGCCGAGATCACGCCACTGCACTCCAGCCTGGGCAACAGAGCGAGACTCCGTCTCAAAAAAATAAATAAAAAAAGATAAATAAAAAGACATTCTACAGACTCACGGACAGAGCTATTCACTGACAGATAAGACATGTGAACATATACAGTCTTATATATGAAGAGACAGATTCATACGTTTCCTTACAAAATGAAACAAATCTATACCCACCAAGAGCCACATTCTCAAGACACACAGAGAAACACTAACATATTAACACACACACAAACTGACCCACACATTGATTCACATATATTCCTACCCAGCTCTTGGCCCACAGGTGAGGGGACTCCTATAGGGGCATACTGGACCACTGGGGTGCTGTGGGTGTTTATAAGCAACTGGACCAGTGGGTCTCCCAGAGAACACCCCCCAATCCTGGGTTCCCTGGGCACTCACCTGATTGCCGAGATACCACTTTCCGTGGGACCAGCTTCTTGATCTATGCAGAAAAGAAGTAAAGGGTGAGCATCCCTAATCTAAAAATCAGAAATCCAAAATGCAGGCTAGGCACAGTGGCTCACACTTATAATCCCAGCATTTTGGGAGGCCAAGGTGGGTGGATCACTTGAGGACAGAAGTTCAAGACCAGTCTGGTCAACATGGCAAAATCCCGTCTCTACTAAAAATACAAAAATTAGCCAGATGTGGTGGCATGCACGTGTAATCCCAGCTACTCTGAGGCTGAGGCAGGAGAGTCGCTTCAACCTGGGAGGTTGCAGTGAGCGTCGATCCTGCCGCTGCACTCCAGTCTGGGCAACAGAGCGAGACTCTGTCTCAAAAAAAAAAAAAAAAAAAAAAATTCGAACATGCTCCAAAATCTGAAACTTTTTGAGTGCCAATATAACGCCTTAAGTGGAAAATTCCATACCCGACCTAACTCATGTTACAGGTCTCAGTCAAAATTTTGTTTCATGCACAAAATTATTAAAAATATTGCATAAAATCACCTTCAGGCTATGGTTTAAGGTGTATATGCAACATAAATGAATTTCGTGTTTAGGTCGTGTACAGGTCGCATTCCCAAGCTCTTTTTTTTTGTTGTTGTTGTTGAGATGGAGTCTTGCTCTTGTTGCCTAGGCTGGAGTGCAATGGCACAATCTGGGCTCACTGCAACCTCCGCCTCCTGAGTAGCTGGGATTACACATGAGTGCCACCACGCCCAGCTGATTTTTGTATTTTTAGTAGAGACGGGGTTTCACCATGTTGGCCAGGCTAGTCTTGAACTCCTGACCTCGTGATCCACCTGCCTCGGCCTCCCAGAAGTGCTGGGATTACAGGTGTGAGCCACCGCACCCGGCAGCTATCTCATGTATATGCAAAAATTCCCAAATCCGAAACACTTCTGGTCCTGAACCTTTTGGATAAGGGATACTCAACTGGTATTATATTCCAAAAGGAGCCGCCACATGTCTAGGTCCACCCTCATTTAGTGACCCTTCAGTTAGGTCCGGAGAGTGCCATGATCCCCACCTTTGTCCAAAATAGCCTGCCCCCACCACCTGAGTGTCTTGGCTCTGTACTCACTGGCGGTGGTGGGAGTACGAAGTTGTCTGGAAAAACTCCTCTTCGTCCTTGACATTCTCCTTCCCACCAGCCCTTATCCTCTGTGGTCTGGGAAAGAAACATGCCGGTGGGGAGGTGAGCCAGGTCCCCCAAGGTCCTTTCCGGGGTCCCACTCCTTCTTATAGATGTAATTTCAACATTTATTTTAGATTCGGGGGTACATGTGCAGGTCTACCCTTTCTCAACACCCACTTCCTTGGGCCCCCCCACCCTGTTCCTCTCACACCTTGCTGAGTACTTTCACCACGTCCCCCCTCCGCAGCGTCAACTCGTCTGGGGCCTCAGGCTGGTAGTCAAACAGGACCCTGTAGGCCTCAGGGTGGGAGACTGGGAAGAGGTCAGTCCACTGTCCTCTGAAGCCAAGCCTCCCCCATTCATCAGCAGCCCCCGCCTCCATCAGCCCAGCTGGCCCCAAGTCACAACCTTGGGAGTGGCTGAGGGGGTGGGGGACCCTTTGGATGGGTGCTCACCTGTCTGCAGGTAGTCTGGAGGGCTGTCATAGGCCAGGCTGCTCAGCTAGTGGGGGAAGGGGCAGGGAGGAACCAGATGAGCCTCCAACCACCCCAAGAGGAACTCACCACCTCTGTGCCCACTCTGAGCCAAGTTACCTTGGGAGGCCGCTGGGGACCAGGGCTGACTGAAGGCATGTCTGGGTTACCAAAGCCTGGTGAGGGACAGTGAGGTTAGGGAGGGTGCTAATTCACAGGTTAGGTCATGGGAGAGGGTCAAAGGGGTCACAGGGTCAGGATATGTGAATCACAGGCTCATGCCACTGGGAGGGTCATTGGAGATTGCGAGTCACAGGGTCGAGGTCTCACTTGGGGGCCCACTGTCCAGCAATTCCACAAAGTTGGATGGGAAGGCTCCCAGCTGCCCGTTCTTCTTCCCCAGCCACCAGCCGTCCTCAATCTGGGGAGGGGGGAGGACGCAGGGGCATCTGGTTCTGCCCCAAGGATCCCTAGGGTAATCTTCCACCCTTGATTCTGCCCAAGCGCCCCTTCCTCCCTCTATCCCGTGCTTCCCCATATCTGCGCCGTTGCCATTCCCACTGTCCACACCCTCACTTCCCACCCTGCTCACTTGGGAGGCGTGTTCCATCATCTTTCCCCTAACGGTCCCATCACCTCACCCCTCACCTCCTTTATCATTTCCACGATCTCCCCAGCTTGCAACTTCAGCTCGTCCGCCTGCTCTGGGCTGTAGTTGAAGTTCACTTTGCACCATCTTTGGGGCCCCGGGTATTTGGCAGGATGACCTAGCACCGGACAAGCGCACCGGAGCTCGAGCCGGACGCCCCAGTACGAGGAGCTGGGGGTAGCGCAAGGCGCGCACGTAGCCTTTGGTACCTCCAGCCCCGCCCCAGGGCAGAGCATTGTACTCGAGAACCAATCACAGGCCGCAGAGCGGACCCGGAGCCCCGCCCAGAGCCGCGCCCGTCACCAAGAGCTAGAGGCGGCGGGGTCGCACTGACTCTGCGCGCCCGCCCACCGGACCCCGTCCCGGACCTTGCGCTCACCTCGGCGGCGCGCACAGCGCGGTCTCCGCGCCTCTCTGGAACCCCGCAGGTTCTCTGGGATCTCCTGGGAATCAGGGCACGGGGAAGGCGCTCTCAGCTCCCGCGGGGCGCGCGCTGAGACCCCACAGCCCGCCCCTGGCTCGGCCTCACCTGCACCAGGCGCTCGGGGAAGAGGCCATAGCGGCCCCCCAGCTCTCCGCGAAGCCAGCCCCGCGCGGGCACCCAGCGCACCTGCCGGACCACGTCCCCGGGCGCCAGACTCAGCTCGTCCTCCTTCTGCGCGCGGTATCCGGCCAGGACGAGGACCTCTGCGGGCGGAAGACGGGGCCGGCGCGCGGCTCAGAAAGACCCAGGCGGGGCAGCCTGGCCAGGGCGGGCGTGTCCTCAGACACCGTAGAGGGCAGCGGGGGCCGGGGGGTGGTGTGGGCTTTTGCCATGTCCACGGTTGCAGAGAGAGGCCACCTCAAAGCCTCCGCACTTACCCATGGTTTCCGGGGCGCCCTCCAGAGCCTGGCAGCTCCCGCTGACGGCCGAGTACTGGGCCAGCGCAGGGCGCGACCGGAGGCAAGACAGTAGGGTAAAGGAGGCGTAGCCGCCAGCCGATAGGTCGGGCCAGGTGCTGGGAGTGGGTGTGGAGAGGGGGCGGCCCGGCTCAGCAGGTTCAGCCCCCAACCCCGGGGTGAGGAGGACTCTAGGGTCTTTGGCCTGTGCAGCGGTTACAGCTCCGTCACAGGCTTTTCCCGCCTACCTAAATTTTAGGCCAGCCGCCTCTCCCTTTCGCTCACCTTTTGCCCGGAGGCTCCCAGCTACAATTTGCACAGAGCCTTCCCAGGCCCACCCTCCCCCACCTCACAAGCTTTTGGCTTCAGGGGAAAAGGTGGGGAGAGGCACATACCAGGGTGGGGTCCCCCAGCAGGTAGCAACCGCTCTAAACCGGCCTTGAGTGAACGAAGTGGCTGCCCTTGTACCAGCAATAACTTTTGAGTGGACACTTCCAGTCTTTCTTGCAAGGCGTACTCCTCTCTGGCCGCGTACCCACCCTCTACCCCCATATAGGAAGGAGACAGCAAAGACCCCTGCTTTGGGGCCAGAGGTCTGGTTTGGTTTCAGAGAACACCTCCAGGTTCTCCCTGGGAGTTAGGCAGGGAGAATGAACTTTACGAGCTTCCAAGGTTTCTGCTCACAGTTGAGCCCCCAGCCGGCAGGAGTCTGAATGTTAGGGCCCACCTATGGCCAGTCCATGTGGGATAGGCTCTTTCAGGTAGAAGGCTGAGCCTACTAACCACATCCCTTGACCCCTGCCCCACCACCACGGAGGAAGCCAAAGTCCTTGCCTATGACACCAGCGGAAAAAATGTTTCTCCTGGGGTGTCCAAGGTACACAATGCTCCTCCCAGGAACTACTGTGTCTGTCTGGGACTTCAGCAGCCTGCGCAAGGCCCCACAGGCCCTTTGTCTTTCAGGTTTTCTGAAACTGTTGTGAGAAGTTATCTACCACCCTCAACACACACACACACACACACTCAGGGTGACAATGAACAAAGCCCGTTTACATCTGCCACTTCATTTATTTTATTTGCAGGAGGAGTTGAAACAAATTTTAAGGGAGATTTTCATTTTCCCCCTAAACATGAATCATTCAAGTAAAACCAACTTAACTATAGAAATGTAGCAAAGTAAGGGGAAAGCAGCACAACAACCCAAGACGCAAAGGCTGGGGGGAGAGGTGGGTGCAGTCCGCATATAACATATGCATAAATGCCTTATGATTCACCTGCTCAGGACCGCCTCCCCAGAAGGCAAGCACAAGGACCCATTTTAAGAGGATGTTTCCCCCCAAACATCTGAGAATGCTTCAACTTAAACAGCTTAAGGTTAAAGACAAGAAAGAAAAAAAAAACCAAAAAAACCCCATGAACCACCCAGCCATAACCACCTTCCTTAATCGATCACAGGAGTTTCATTTTATAAAAAGATTAATAAAAAATATTGAAAAAATTTTCTCATCTTATATTTGTAAAGATAATAGAATTCATAAGTTTCTTAGAAAACAGACCAGACACTGCCCTCCAGTTTCCACCCCGTTGCTGGGAGGATCAGCAGGACTAGAAAGTTTGGGATACTGGAGCTGCTGGTGGAGAATAGGGAAGTCCAGCCCAGAAGAAATCAGGAAATAGGGCTCAGGGGCACGTGAGGTGTGGTTAGGAGCAACTCCACGTGATACATGGCTGCGCAGAAAAGGGGAACACAAGGTGGTCGGAAAGGCCTTAAACTCCTCCTTGACATACAAAACCGGTTTTTACAAAGATCCAAGCAGTTTGGTCCCAAACTGAGGTGAACACTTCAAAGTTTATTCACATGCTTTGTTTTCTCTTTCAAGAATCAAAGTTTCCCAAATTAAATGTTTCTAATATTACTACATATGCCTAAAAAAAGAAAAAAGAAAAAAAAAAAAAAGAAGGGCTTTTAAAATCAGGACAGGGGAGAAGAGATTGAAAATCATCGAATTAGTCCTCTTAGCTCCAAATGAAAAGAAATTAGAACAAAACTGTTGGTTCCTAATAGGAAACAAAAATCCAAGCATCGCTCTCCCGCCCTACCCCTGCCCCCACCCCCACACACCAACAACAAATGAGAAAAACAGCGAAAGCCCAATGCGTTGTGTTCTGCTCAAGAGCTGGGCCTGACCCCCGGGCTCCACGGCCAGCCTCCTCTATCCAGTGGGAGACAGTGCCAGGGATGCCTTTTGTGGTAGTACAATCTGCACGGCTGGTGGGGGGTGTGGGTAGGATTTATGCAATCTTCTTGAGGTTCCTCTGTTAAGCCAGCCATCTTCCCAGTGCCTCTCTCCCCTGGGCAGGAATCCCATCAATGGTGGCCCCTACTCGGCTGTGGGCTGTATATTGTCCTTCTCTTCTCGGTTCTCTGTCCCACTCTCGTCGTCTTCAATCTCCCCTTCCTCCCCACTGAACTTGTCATGGGCCCACTTGGGGCTGGTACTTGATTTCCGGAACATGAACCGGCCCCGACCCCGAGGAAAGGCTCCTCGGCCCCGGCCCCGGCTCACCCACTTGTCACTGCCTTCTCCTTCACGGTCATCATGCTGAGGGGAAAGAAAATTGCCATCAGTGCCAGAGTGAATAAGATGTGGCCAGAGCTCTCTCCTCTGCACCCACCCAAATGTGCCTTTCCCAAAAGAACCTGTGCCCTAAACCCAGCCTTCTCCTCCTTTTCTGCACTTCTCCCTGTCCCCTGCTCCAAAAATGCCAGTGGTTCAGATCCACAAGAATATCAGTTGAGTGATTTAGAAATTTTAAGGTAACAGCTTGAGCATTGTAATGATGATGAGGACGATGATGATGATGATTCACTGAGCATGAACCCTTCATAGTTTAAGGAAAATAAAAAAGTCACTGAGCACTGAAGTAAGACATTTATATACTATCTCATTTAATTCTCATATCTATCATATCATTATCACCTCCCACTCTGCAAACGAGGAAAAAGCTTAGGAACTTTAGGCAACTCCATATGATTTAGTATATCCTCTCTCAAAGGATGGGTCTGAGAAAGCCAATCACACCAAAACGTGAAACTCCACGTGAACTGGGTTGCTAAGCAGTTAAGAAAGGAGGCAATGCGGCTGGGTGCAGTGGCTCATGCCTATAATCCTAGCACTTTGGGAGGCCGAGGCGAGCAGATTGCCTGAGCTCAGGAGTTCGAGACCAGCCTTGGCAACACGGTGAAACCCCTGTCTCTATTATTTTAAAAAAAAAAAAAAGCCAGGCATGGGGGTGTGTGCCTGTAGTTCCAGCTATTCGGGAGGCTTGAGGCAGGAGAACCGCTTGAACCCAGGAGGCAGAGGCTGCAGTGAGCCGAGATAGTGTCACTGCACTCCAAATGCTCAGAATCCAATGCTGGGGCTGGGGCTCTTCCTGACCCTCCAACTCCACTCTCATTTTGTATCTCCCTGTTTTATGCAAGGAGGCAGTGTGACAAAGTAGGAAGAACACTTAACCTACATTTCATTTTTTTTTTTCTTTTTCACTTAGTTCAAGGAAAGGATTAACCTACATTTCAAACAATCCTTGCTCTGACAATCTCATGAGACAGAAGGAGGGATCCAATCAAACAATGAATGAGAAAACATTTTGAAAACCAGCAGTCATTACCTTATCAGCCCCAAGACTTCAGAACCTAAACCACCCCCCACACAAGCTTGGGTCTTAGGCTCTTGGAGCTCAGCTCAGCAGAAGTGTCAGCTTCTTCTGACCACGGCTGCTTGTTCACACTAAATGAATCAGGCTGGCAATACTCTCTCAGGTGGCAGATAGGGGCAAGGGAGATGGCCTTTAGTCCTTCCCCTACAGCAGTCCCACTCCAGCACCCAACCTGGGCCCATCCAACTACAATTCCCTAGAGGTAAGTTCAAAGGTCCTCTAGTAGCCTCAAAGCAGCCACCAGCAGCAGCAACCCTAGAAAAGGGATGGTGGCCATGCACAGGAAACACAAAACCTGTTTCCTAGCTGTCCAACTGACAATATAGATTCATTCCAGCCATTCTAGCAGGTGGTGGAGATTCAGCTGCTCCTTTACCTTAGTTATAACACTCACACCGGCCTGGATCTTCGCCTGCTGTTACATACCAAGGCCAAGAGTGCTCACTCAAGGCCAGGTACTTCAGCCTATAAAAGTTCTAATCTGAAGGAGGCCCAGAGTGCAGGGGAATGATTAACAGCTTAGATGAGAGAAGCCCCAGTGGCATTTCATTTTGGAGAGACATCCCTCTCCTCAAAGAGATCCTGAGCTGTCTTTCTTGTCATTCTTGCATGAAGGAGTGGCAGTGAGGGACAGCAGCATTGGGGAAGGGTTATGGCTCTATCCACAGGAATGAGGGAGGCTGAGGGTGGGGTGGTGGTTGAGCAGTAAAACAAGTTCACAGACTAAAAAGACAAGACCAATGCTTCTTGCTTATCTTGGAAACCATAAATATCTTCAATGACAAACCCTTTGAAGACCAGGACTGCCTCTCTAGAGGACACCCATCCAGTTAGCACACCCCAGTGTAATATTCCTGCACATAAATTTAATCGCAGTTTTGGACAAACTAATTAAGGCCTGGTATCAGCTACTGTGTGTGTCAAAGGCCCTCTGACCCTTCCTGGTTATCCCCAGACACATACCAAGTAATACTTCTTGCTTTTGGGTGTGTACTCTGGGTCCCACTCCTCTTCCCGGTTTCTTTTTTGAAAATCGTTGTTGCTGTTGTTGTTATTGTTCCCAGAGTAGTTGCCTCTGCCCCAGCCTCTTCCTCTGGCTCGAAACTGCTATTGCAATAAATGAGGGAAAAAGGAACAAAGGATCATGCCAGGAATGGGGAACAAACCCCCTGCTTTCTGTTCAAACACTTTTCTGGTGTGGAATAGACAGCTGTCTTCCAGTCATATGCTGGTCAGCTGGTTTCCAGCCATTCCCTTTCTGCTCATCTCAAGTCTGTAGCCTACACAAAGGACAAACCTGTCCCAAGGGCCTCCCTATAAACAGCAGTAGTCGAAGTAAGTGGGGGAAGTTCTGAGACCAGAAGCTGTAAGAGGCTTTCTAGCTAAGTGATTATGAACAGAAAAGCAACAAAAAACGGAAAGGCCAGGAAATGTGGGAAGGAGAACCAAAGATTCCAGGGTCTTTGGATTGGATTACTTATGTCAAAGGCAACAAAACTGGTATTCTGATGAAATATAATCAGAGTTGGTAGGAGCAAGGAGCTTAGAGAAAGGGGGAGAGGGGAGGGTCTTACAAAGGTTCCTCGAGCTCTGCCACCTCCTCTTTCACTTGGACCCACAAAGTCTTTGGTCCCCAGTCTTGATTTGTCAAAGCCCGTGGTGCTCTCCTCTCTTTCCTCTGTCTCTTCAGTGTATTCTTCTGCTTTGTAGGAGTGAGATGACTGGGAGGAAGAGGAGGAGGATCTGGACCTGTCTCTTGCTCTCCGATGCTTCCTGTGAAAAGAGAAGAGCCATCAATCATCTTCTAGGGGACACTGCTTGGCTGGGGCCTCATGGATAAGCACAGGACAATCAAAAGTGTGCCTGTGATGAAGAAACTAATGATGAGTAACCTTATAAAACCAGCTCACCCCCAACCTACCCACCCAAGATACTTCCCCTCAATTCTGTCAGTCATGTTCAGTGACACATCTATGTCTGAGTCTGTGATAAACATATGACATACACAGAAGCAGGAACAAAAAACACAGTCCATGGCCTCCAGTAGCTCAGTCTAAGGTACAGGCATGAATTGATAAGGGAGAAGGAAATTAACACTATATTGAGAGCTCCGAAGTATCTGGTATTGGGCCAGATAAATAGCTCTGTATATTATCATCGGTTAGTGCTTTCTATTACTTTTATTTCTTACAGGAATGCTACCTGTCTTATAGGGTTCTCTAAATAAACAATGTGTTTAAACACTTTATACCAACATAGCTGGCATGCAGTAAAGGGCAATATGACTCAGTATTATTTCCCTCATTTTATAGGCAGGAGGCTCAGGTGAGAGAGCCAAGCAGAGCCCGGATTCTAACCTAGCTCTAATTATACGACGACTCCACATATTACCTCCCAGTGAGCTCAAACAGGTTGTGTCACTAAGCCTAGGATCTGGCGTAACTCTCCCAGAGTTATGTCCCTTCCCTTTCCTTCATCTGGGGGAAATTACAGACTAGGGCAAATTATCTTAATACGATGAGTCACTGTCTATGTACTAAGGTCAGTACCAGCCCTGCCATGTGATAGTGGAGGTTACTGAATACCTCTAGGGGGCAGCAAGGCCAGCATCCCAGGAGTAGAGGAGTAGCAGAGCCAGCCAAATGTCAGTAACCTATCATTGTCTTTCCCTCCGTCAGTCTTTCATTATGAAAGGTATCATGCTCCCTGCTCCTCACCTACACATACTTACTCATACAAAGGGGAAATCTAAGTTACTGTCATAGGATTCACATAACTTCAACTGTGACCCCACTCAACATCCGTGCTATTTCAAGAGGTTTTCAAAAATAAGACTCTCTGGCCGGGCATAGTGGCTCTCTCCTGTAATCCCAGCACTTTGGGAAGCCAAGGCGGCTGGATCACTTGATGTCAGGAGTTCAAGACCAGCCTGGCCAACATGGCGAAACCCCATCTCTACTAAAAATACAAAAATTAGCTGGGTGTGGTGACAAGCATCTGTAATCCCAGCTACTCCGGAGGCTGAGACAGGAGAATCACTTGAACCCAGGAGGCAGAGTTTGCAGTGAGCCAAGATCATACTGCACTCCAGCCTGAGTGACAGAGTGAGACTCTACCTTAAGAAAAAAAAAAAAACACTCTCAAAAGGCCTCAAATTTGAGTCTTAGCATTGTCTTTCTTTTTTGTTGTTGTTGAGACAGAGTCTCCCTCAATCTCCAGGCTGGAGTGCAGTGCTGCGCTCTTGGCTCACTGCAACTTCCACCTCCTGGGTTTAAGCGATTCTCCTGCCTCAGCCTCCTGAGTAGCGGGAATTACAGGCGCCCACCACCATGCCCGGCTACTTTTTGTATTTCTAGTAGAGACAGGTGTTTCACCATGTTGGCCAGGATGGTCTCAATCTTCTGACCTCATGCTCTGTTCACCTCGGCCTCCCAAAGTGCTGGGATTATAGGCGTAAGCCACCACACCTGGCCAGCATTGTCTCTTATTAGCTGTGTGACCTGGGTAAGTCATTCTTCAGTTATATAAAAAAAAGTTCTGGCTGGGCATAGTGGCTCATGCCTGTAATCCCAGCACTTTGGGAGGCCAAGGTAGGCAGACTGCTGGAGTCCAGGAGTTCTAAACCATCCTGGGCAACATGACAAAACCTCAACTCTGTAAGAAATACACAATTAGCCAGGCATAATGGTGTACACCTGTAGTCCCAGCTGATTGGGAGGTTGAGGTGGGAGGATCACTTGAGCCCAGAAGGTCAAAGCTGCAGTAGGTCAGTGATATCATCACCGCACTCCAGCCTGGGTGACAGAGCAAAACCCTGTCTCAAAACGGGCCAGGTGTGGCAGCTCATGCCTGTAATCCCAATGCTTCGGGAGGCCAAGGAGGTGGGTGAGAATCACTTGAGGCCAAGAGTTCAAGACCAGCATGGGAAACATAGCCAGCCCTTGTCTCTAAAAAAAATTTAAAAAATTAGCCGGGAATCGTGGTGCATATCTGTACTCCTAGCTCAGCCTACTTGGAAGGCTGAGGCAGGAGGATCACTTGAGCCCAGCAGTTCAAGGATGCCATGAGCTACAATTGTGCCACTGCACTCCAGCCTGGGCGACAGAGCAAGACTCCATCTCAAAATGGGCCAGGTGTGGTAGCTCATGCCTGTAATCCCACCACTTTGGGAGGCCGAGACGGGCGGATCACGAGGTCAGGAGATGGAGACCATCCCGGCTCACACAGTGAAACTCGGTCTCTACTAAAAATGCAAAAAAAATTATCCGGGCGTGGTGGTGGGCGCCAGTAGTTCCAGCTACTTGGAAGGCTGAGGCAGGAGAATGGTGTGAACCCAGGAAGCAGAGCTTGCAGTGAGCCGAGATCGCGCCACTGCACTCCAGCTTGGGCGACAGAGTGAGACTCTGTCTCGGAGAAAAAAAAAAAAAATCACAGAATACCGGGGTTTGCAGGGCACTCGTTCAAAGTCACATAGCAAGTCAGAGGTAGGCACGTGTTCCAGGGAGAGGAAATCAAGAGTTAGTTATCCAGACTCAACTCTGAAATGCTTGAGGGGTTCATGTTCCATTTCTAAGTGGCGGCCCAGGCACTACTGTACTACTACTTCCATTCCCTGCTGAGGATTCGCAGGTTCTTTATCTATGGGCAGCCCTGAAAGCTGCCAAGGCTCCTAATGCATAAGTAACACACTGGAATGGGAGACAAAGTAGAACAAAAAGATCTGTGTTTGCGGTCAGCTGATAATTGTGATTTTTTTTTTTTTTTTTTGTGAGATGAAGTCTCCTCTGTCACACAGGCTGGAGTGCAGTGGTGAGATCTCGGCTCACTGCAACCTCCGCCTCCCAGGTTCAAGTGATTCTCCTGCCTCAGCCTCTGGAGTAGCTGGGACTACAGGCGCGCAACACCATGCCCAGCTAATTTTTTTTTTTTAAGTAGAAACAGGGTTTCATGATATTGGCCAGGCTGGTCTCGAACTCCCGACCAGATGGTCTGCCTGCCTCGGCCTCCCAAAGTGCTGGGATTACAGGCATGAGCCACTGGGCCCGCGCCCAATACTTGTAATCATAAGGCACATCATTCTAAGCTTGGCTTATCTTTCAAATGGGCAAAATGGGCATCACACCAACTGTTCAACTTATCTCAAGGGGTTATCAGAAAATTGATACAAAAACACAGCCGGGCACAGTGGCTCACACCTGTAATCCCAGCACTTTGTGAGGCCAAGGTGGGTGAATCGTGAGGTCAGGAGTTCAAGACCAGCCTGGCCAACATGGTGAAACTCCATCTCTAAATACAAAAAATTAGCTGGGTGTGGTGGTGGGCGCCTGTAATCCCAGCTACTCAGGAGGCTGAGGCAGGAGAATCACTTGAACCAGGGAGGCGGAAGTTGCACTCTAGCCCAGGCAACAGAGTGAGTCTCCGTCTCAAAAAAATAAAAGCTTGCCAGCTGAAGTTCAGAATCAGCAGAAGTGTTGCTTCTTACCAGAAGGTATGGGGCTTCAATTGTGCTACTTTTTGTGACACATGATTAAAAAGTCATGGAACATTCAAAAACATAAACAGAAACATCAGGACATAGGCATGAATGTTGCCCCACAAAGTTCAACAATGCCACCTTTGTTTAAGGAGTACCTGGAACACCTCTCCTGGAACTGTCTGTAAAACTAGTTTAAAAGGCACTTAAGATCAACAATCATGTCCTATCTAGTTCCACCCTGTTTCTTTGACTAAACAGTGTTATTACTTGACAATGACTTTGGGCCATTTCTATAATACAACCTCCCCATGAAAATGTGTGATGAAAAAAGGCACATCTAAAACTGCAAAAGGAATTCCCAAATGATTCTAATGATTCTCCACACCATCCCTGTGGTCAATTTAACAGATTAACTTCTGTCATGAAGCCTTCTTTGGACAAAGATCACACTATTTTGATGCAGAAATTGTTTTCAAACTAGGGACCCTATTGACATTTACATGGATTAAAAGAAGAAACAGGTTGCTGTAATTACTAACCCTAAACTCCTCTGATTTGAAAGTTCTGGTGTACAGCCCAAAGAGGGCAGACAAGAAACTTAAGAGTCTAAAAGGGGTGACAGGGGCTTACGTACTTCTGTTTCTTTGATCCTTTATGAGTTTTCTCTGTTTTCTCAGCTGACCTTTCCCTCGAGTGGCTGGAGTCTCGGGAATCCACTGATTCTCTCGATTTACCTCGTTTAAGATCTCTCTCCTTATGTTTTTTACGACGTTCAATATCAAGGCGGAGATCAACAGGATCATCTTTGTATTTTCCCTCAGCCTATCAAAAGATAAGTCAAAATTAAGGTTTCTGGGATTGAGAGCCATCAACTCAACCATCCCACAACTGTGGTTTTTACTCCAATGGAGGGGTGCAGAGGAAGCACTGGGAAATGTGAGGCATCTCACCCAACCTTGGAAGGGATGCAGGATGTCCCACAGAAGTTACTCCATAAGGATCCCTCACAGAACCCAAGCCAGTTCTCCAAAACAATGATGCTGGCCTTCTGAAAATGCTATGCATTGATCTCACTTTGTTTCTTTTCTGGCCCAGTAATGACTCTGGCTAGTTTAGAAGTTGAGAAGGCTGGCCGGGGGCAGTGGCTCACGCCTGTAACTCCAGAACTTTGGGAGGCTGAGGCAGGCGGATCACTTCAGGAGTTCGAGACCAGCAAGGGCAACAACCAAAACCCTGTTCTCTACTAAAAATACAAAAATCAGCCAAGCAAGGTGGCGTGTGCCTGTAATCCCAGCTACTAGGGAGGCTAAAGCAGAAGAATCGCTTAAACCCAGGAGGTGGAGGTTGCAGTGAGCCGGAGATCACACCACTGCACTCCATCCTGGCCAATAGTGCGAGACACTCTCTCTCTCTCTCTCTCTCTCAAATAAATAAATAAATAAAATAAAATAAAATAAAATAAAATAAAAATGTTGAGAAGGCTAAAATTAGCTCTGGAAAAGTAGGTGGTTGGGCTGGCTCAGGCTTAGCCACCACTGAGAGTAGAAATGCTCACCTTCCCCTACCTATACTGTAGTATCCATGCATGGCTTATCCTCCAGTTGGAATTATCTCTGAGTACTGAGTCCAAAGAGGGACAATGGAAGACTTAAGCAGCCTTCAAAGCCCTGAGTTATGCTGAGAAATTTCTCTAGAAAGGGAATATTAAAAACTATAGGGAATTCATAAATTGGTATTACCAGGTGAAAGGAAAGGGAAGGAAAGGGGAAGGGGAAGGGGAAGTGGGAAAGAAAAAAAAAGGAAGGGAGGGAGGAAGGGAAGGAAGGAGGAGGGAAGGAAGGAAAAAACTTCTCTGCTAGCTTCCTAAGCAGTACAGCTATGAAGGTATGTTTTGCAGCAGCAACAGCACACCTGCCCAGACCACTGTAGCAAAGGCTTTCAACAATTCTTGAGAAACTCAGTGGGGGCAAAGACGCATGGTAGTTCCAGGACATCCCACACTAGATTTGCCTCATGGAGGTAACTCAGGGAGGAAGAAATGAGCAGTTCACTTGGCATTAACAATTTATATACATGAACTACTAAACTTAAAAAAATTAAGTTTAACAGCAGGAGTGGCAGAAAGTAGGTTTATAGTTTTTTTGCTTTTTTTTCTTTTTTTTTTGAGACAAAGTTTCGCTATTGTTGCCCTGGCTGGAGTGCAGTGGCGCAATCTCGGCTCATTGCAACCTCCACCTTCTGGGTTCAAGTGATTCTCCTGCCTCAGCCTCCCAGGGAGCTGGGATTACAGGCATGCACTACCACACCTGGCTAATTTTGTATTTTTAGTAGAGACGGGGTTTCACCATGTAGGTCACGCTGGTCTCAAACTCCTGACCTCAGGTGATCCGCCCACCTCAGCCTCCCTAAGTGCTGGGATTACAGGTTTGAGCCACCTTGCCCGGCCGTTTATTGTTTTATCATTTAATTTGTTTCCTAACAGAGGGAACTGGGCCTCTGCATCCTCCAATGAGCAAAAAAAGACAAAAAGACAAATGCAACACTGCTCCCAGGGGTTGGCTTTTTAGGGCATGGAGGATAAGATATCTTCTGATGTTTTAAAGAAAACCTTGGGTTTTACATGGCTAGTGCCAAGCTGGAGAAGGGGTACTCGGAGGAGGAAAGAGGGATGGGAGAGAAGAGAGACTGCCCAAGAGCGCCTCTCATCACATTCAACCAACAAGACAAATTTTTTTTTTTAGAAAAGGTTTCAGCAGCATTGGAATAACCATCTGTAATTTTAAATGTCAACTGTATATGTGAATGAAGATCAATAAATACTAAGATCTTTTAAAGCCCAATTTAGTTATTTCACAGTAAAAGATTGTATACAAGCTTTAACTTCTTAATAACAGTGTTTACGTGCATATCACTGCAAATGTAGCTGGGCCATCAAAGTAATGTTTAACAGTAATTGACAGATGATAGATATGGTACAATGTTAGGAAAAAAAACTGGACCAGCTGTTTAAAAACAGTCTACTTAAGTTAAGACATGAATATTTCACTCTTCTCTGACATGCATGTCTTTCTGAAATCATGGTTGGAAATAGTGCATGTATACAGTTGATTTGATAATACTTACAAGCAGAAAAATATCACAAAAAGTTTCTTCTCTCATCATGGGCACTTGTTCCAAAACTCCTCTCTTTTTTTTCTCAAGCTCACCTCAATAGACTTTGGGGTCATTTACCATATTCTAACCACTTCACAAAGGTTGTTGATACATTTAATAAAAATTAACCCTTTGTAGTTCATTTTTAGAATTATGCCCATCCTTAAAAGAAAAACACAAACTTAAGTAGAGAGTAATTTAAACAAACACATTTCTGTCAAGTTCATGCCCAACGCACTCATTTTGTTGGAATTACTGATCAAATCAACAGTTCACCTTGTAGCCAGGTTCCCGGGGACTTTTCATTTCATCATGAGCCAAACCATGTTTTCTGAATGTACTGGGGGAAATGTCTATTCTCCTAAAATTGAAAATACAAAACAATATAGTATTCCATTGTGTGAACATGATACTGGTAATATTCTAGCTCCTAAGTTGGGTAACAGATTCACAGGCATTATTTTTCCTTATGTTTCATGACTTATATATGTATTACTTTTACTCTTTACTTACATACTTATACTCTCCCGTAGGCATACACACACACACACACACACACACACACACACACACACACACACACACAGAGTCCCAGTTTCCCAAAGTGTGACACAAGTTAGAGGTTTTTGTTCTCTCCCGGTTTTGCTACACACAGAAAGATGGACTCACCCACAGCCTTAAAGGTAAGGCCAACTTTATTTCTAGTCCCTATCCACTGAACTGACTCCCACAACCAAATGGAATGGTCTTTAAACCTGCTGGGCTTTAAAATTCTTTGAAACAATCCTACAAGCTACCGCCTCTAGCCCCCAGGCAAATTCTTCCAAAGGAATCCAACTACCATGATTTAATCCATGACTAAACTACCATGAAATATTAATATATGGGTTTGCCTAAACAAATTAGCATTAGGCCGGGCACAGTGGCTCATGCCTGTAATCCCAGCACTTTGGGAGGCTGAGGCGGGCAGGTCACCTGAGGTTGGGAATTCGAGACCAGACTGGCCAACATGGTGAAACCCTGTCTCTATTAAAAATACAAAAATTAGCTGGGCATGGTGGCGCACGTCTGTAATCCCAGGTACTTGGGAGGCTGAGGCATGAGAATTGCTTGAACCTGGGAGGCAGAGGTTGCAGGAAGCCTGGCTGTACTCCAGCCTCGGTGGCAGAGCAAGACTGTACCTCAAAAAAGGTAAAGAAAAGAAAAGAAACTAGCATTTACTCTACCTACTCACAGTAATTTCAGGCTAACATTTGCCAGCTCCCAGTAAAACAGGAGTTAATCTATGTCAAGAGAGCTGTTTTCCTCAGGCCCAACGTGAGAGACTGTTGTCCCAAAGCATGTCCTGTACACTCTAAAATATAAATGCCTACAGCTCTCTTAGAGTCTGAAGGATGTTACCGTAAATTTTGTATTAAAGGTGCATTAGCAGCAGAATTTAACACGGTGAGTTTAATGTCTGGTACAAACTCTTTTATTACAACCTCCAGTATAAGGCCAAGGTCCTTACCTGTGTATCTCTGGGCTTTTCTTGTTTTTGGCTGCCTCCTGCTCAGTTCCTCTCTTTAGGTATTTAGTAAAGCGTTCATGTAATGTCATTCCTGAGGACCCAAAGTGATGCTCTGTTGGGATTAAAAGAAACACAGTATGTTACCAAAGGCAGACACAATGTTTTAACTCTTTTGCAGGAACTGGTAACCACAGAGATGCAACTAAAGTAGTTAAATCCACACAACAAATATACTAAGAGGAAGGAAAAATGGCTGGTTCAAACACAGTCCCATATTAGGCATTAGATTTCCACTGTAGCTCCCATGTCTTAGGACAGAGAAGCTTGAAGCTTATTCTCCTCAGAAACACAGCACCAACTCTTGCTTGAGTTTATATTCAGATGGAACCTGCCAACTGGCCCAACCCAGCTTCTCCATCACTTCTCTTAGCCATTCCCTAACCTGCCCAACTCCATTTGCCCAGGGGGATGACAGAATACTTTGGGGGAAGAAATTCACACCACAAGGTCCGTAAGAGATCACTTAGAGGAGAGAAGACAGAGATGCTAGAAAAGTCATTTTGCTATTGGCTTTAACCTGTTCTCTTGGTCACAGGTTACCAGCATTTCAAAATGCTGAGCTCTGCAATTAAAACATGGAAACTGTTTCCTGAACAGAATTTCCTTCAAGCCAGCCCCTAGCTTCAAAGGCCCTTTAGATGAGATACAGGGCCCCCCAAAACTCCCTATCCACCCACTCATCCTTCTTCTAAGTGTGGAACACCAGCCTGAAGCAGGTCAGGGTCTGGACTCACCTTTAACATGGTGAACAATGGTCACTATATGTTGGGCAAACAGTTCTGAGGGGCTACGCTGAGACTGAGCTGATTGTATGTGTTGGAAAATGGAACGAAACTCCTGTTCCTTTTTGTTGCTATGGACTAGATCTCGGCAAAGCTTGCGTTCCTGAGCCAATAAGCCACTGGGTCTGAAAAAGAAATACGGGGAGGCCCAATTAGAACATGATATACAGAAAGAACATTAAAACCATAAAAATATTTTTTTGAAGAGTTTTAAATCTATCCATAAACTTCTTTTCTTCCTACCGAAGTTGAAAGTAACCTCAATGCACTGTAACTATGGAAAAGGATATCCAAACTCTCTCTCTTCTTTTTTACTGGAATCTTCAAGTGAAGTGTTAAACCTTAGTCACTGCTGGTTTTAACACACCCAACAAATGAGAAAGTATTTTAAAAGATCAACTACAGCTGGGTGCAGTGGTTCACACCTGTAATCTCAACACTTCGGGAGGCAGAGACAGGAGCATCACTTGAGCCCACGAGTTTGAGACTCCATCTCAATCAATCAATCAATCAATAAAAAGATCAGCTAGCATGACCAGCCAAGGCCTGATTCAGGGAGGTGATGTCATGAAGCGGCAGTGGGGTGTGGCTGGAATGCTGTTCCCACAGACTTCCAGCTGGCTGAGTAGTTTACACCAAGTAAAAAACCAGTTAGCCTTGGCCTCCCAACTCTTTCCTAAAGTTTAGGGGACAGGTGGTAGATGTATTGCCTTCCTTAACTCTAAAATTGTGGCCAGGCACAGTGGCTCATGCCTGTAATCCCAGCACTTTGGGAGGCTAAGGCACGCAGATCACCTGGCTTCAGGGGTTCAAGACCAGCCTGGCCAACATGGTGTAACCCAGCCTCTACTAAAAATACAAAAATTAGCCAGGTGTGGTGGCAGGCGCGTGTAATCCCAGCTACTTGGGAGGCTGAGGCAGGAGAATCGCTTGAACCCGACAGGCAGAGGTTGCAGTGAGTTGACAGTGCACTGCTGCACTCCAGCCTGGGGGTGAGAGAGAGGTTCTGGGCCAGGTACGGTGGCTCACGCCTGTAATCCCAGCACTTTGGGAGGCCAAGGCGGGCGGATCACGAGGTCAGGAGATCGAGACCATCCTGGCTAACACGGTGAAACCCCGTCTCTACTAAAAATACAAAAAATTAGCCAGGCGTGGAGGCAGGCGCCTGTGGTCCCAGCTACTTGGGAGGCTGCGGCAGGAGAATGGCACGAACCTGGGAGGTGGAGCTTGTGGTAAGCGGAGATCGCACCACTGCACTCCAGCCTGGGCAACAAAGTGAGACTCTGTCTAAACAAAAAAGAAAAAGAAAAGGAGAGAGAGAGAGACTGTCTCAAAAATAAAATAAAATACAAATAAAACTGCTACGTTATCTGATGGGGAAGGGCTATACTATAGATTTCGGTGACCCAGCTAGGAACGAAGAAGTGGATCCAGGATGGCTTCACAGGCAAAGCTATGTTAAACACAAGAAACAGTATTGGACTTGGGGGTGTAGTGATGAACAGAGAGTGAGCCAGTCACTAAGGACTGAAGAGATACTTCATCACCCCAGGGATACTGTCCCCCTCAAAGCACACAATCACTCCGTGACACATACTCTCTAGTGAACACAGGTGGACATGAAACTATCATCACTGAAGCTTAAGACAGCAGGGGGAACACAACAGAATGTCCCCAGGGAGAAGGGCTAGGAGACACCACTTAGGCCACTAAAGCACTGAGGATTAAGAAGAAGCACATCTCACCGTGCAAGGTCCTCATCAAAAGAGTCCATCCGGACATTGACCTGTGCCTCTCGAGTAATGGAAAAGGAAGACTTCCCCGTGGGAAAATCTCCTTTCACTCCCAGCTTGTCTCGGCTCTCAGAGGTCTTTCTTGGGGGAGGTGATGAGCTTTTCTCCTGGACTGCTTTGTAAGCAGTCACTCGGAAATTCTTCTCAGGCACAAAGCCCCTGTGCCCACCTTCGGTTCTCTTGCCCCGATCCTCCTTTTTGGATCTCTCTGGGAAAGACTCCTCCTCCAGCTCCTCTGTTTTCCTCTGCTTTTCCTTCCCTGGAGGTGCATATACCAGGCCCTCCCATTTGCCTGACTTCTCCTCCTCCTGGTTTTTGTTTGCACCTATGACTTTAGACATATATTTGGGTTCATCATCAAACTCAGATTCCTTCCTTCCCTTAGCTTTGTCCTTATCTTGATCATCCATCTCCTCCTTGTGGAAGTCAGCCATCTTCTTCTCAAAGTCATCTCGGAGCTTATACCTTTTGGGAGACTGACTGCCCCGAAAAGGCTTCTCGGAATCAGTTTTGGGAGCAAAAGAATCAGATTTCATTTTTCCATCACCCAAGCCTGTGTCAGAGAAGCTCCCTTTCTCTTTTATTTTTTCTTTATCGGTATTTGTTTGTTTCTGTTCCTTATCTTTTCCATTCTCTGTCTTCTGCTCTTCTAGATACCTAGTTATAAAAACACAAAAAAGACACACAAGAGGCTTCTTAAGCAACTTGCTCTAAAATAGTGCCTTACTGTTTTTGGTTTTGATTCTCTGAAAAAATATGTCTTATGGATTTCAGTATTACCAAAGGACTTTCTACGTGGTTACTTCCTAGTAATTTCTGAAAAACTACCATTCACAGATCTATGAACTTGGCAATTAAGAGAAAAATACATGATCCATGGAGTTGTGTCTTACAAAAGCAACCAAAGAGAACAGCAAAAGTTATTTTTAGAATACTAAAAAACAAAAACAAAAACCTACTTACCTGTAATGTGATCTAGGGCAAAAAATAACTAAGGTCTTACCCAACCTTCACTCAGTCACTTAAAATCTGCTTTCAGCAAAGTTAACATAGAACACCTTGGACTGTTTTGCTTTTATACAACTCACATTTGGAAATACAAGTCTAAAAAGAGACTTCAAATTTGCTTCAAGTCACCTAGAAGATCTAAATATGAAATATACTGTGAACACAAATAAAAACAAAATACATGTTAATGGGGGAGAGGGTGACAGCAGCAAAAATCATCATTCTCTTTCTTATGGAAAAACAGAGCTCATGCTCAATTCTTCTAAAGATTCACAGTCCTGGCATGGAACAAAACTTATGCTTTAAAATAGACTTACTTGGGAGCTAGACTATGAGGACCCAAAGGCATAAGAATGATACAATGAACTTTGGGAACTCAGGGAGAAGGATGGGAGAGGGCAAGGGATTAAAAAACTACACACTGGGTACAGTGTACACTGCTCGGGTGATGGGTGCACCAAAACCTCAGAAATCACCACTAACAAACTTATCCATGTAACCAAACACCACTTATTCCCCCAAAAACCTACTGAAATAAAAATGTAAATAAATAAAACAGATTTACTGAAGCCAACTACAGATTCAAAACGTCTCATCTGTACCATTAATGCAGAAAGCCTAATAATCAAGTCAAAGTTGTATTAATACAGCCAAGAAAAATCAAGGGATCAAAAAATATGCTAAATACGATAAAAGAAAAAAAAAAAAGGGAAACCACTTGCTGGGTTAGTCCCTCTTGACCACAACCTGGTCCCAATACAACTTCCCTGTAACTTCTCTGCCATCCCAATCCATCCAACCATACAAACAAAGATTCATGTTCCAACTCACCGTGTCCCCCAGGGGAGAAAGACGGAAGCACTGTCATGTCCTCTCCTAACACGCAGCCGTGTTGGCTTCTACTGGGACATACACCCACCTTGTGGTTTTAAAACAAGGCCTTCCTGGACTAAGCCTTGGCCTTTCCCATTCTGCCCAGTCTCCTCAACTGGAGGATATTGAGGGTGCAGCTCTTCACCATGATAGGCTGATGCAGATCGAACATAGTAGATGGTGGGTGCTACAGGGTCTAAGAGCTCCAATGGCCATTCATTTTGGCAAAGACCATACTTTTTTTTGATAGCTGACCCACAAATCTCTACTGTTCTTTGGCTTACATTGGTAGAATCCAAGGCAAATTTTAAATGTGAAAACATCATTGCAGAGTAGTCTAAAGAAAGTTTATGCTGCAATACAAATTCAGGAAGGTAGGAAAGCTAGAGTTAACCTAAAGGTTTCCTTGGGTGATGCTTTTAATGTTTACTAATGAAAAGTCTAGGAAATAGGGATTACCTTTTACCATTAATCAGAGCTCTAACTTAGAACACATTACAATTAAACTACCAGCTAGTGAGATAAAAACACAACCAGGCAGGGGAAATGAGATACTTGCCTCTTTGTATAGGCTGCTCCTCCTGAAGCAGCACTCTCCTCCTTCTGAGATGAGCCATATGTGGAGCCAGTGGATGGTGGACTTTTACCCACAGGGCTCTTTTTGGATGGACTCAGGGACCCAGAACCATGGTCGAACTGACCTTGGTGTGTCCCAGACTGATACCCAGCACCACTTGGCAGAGCTGAGCCCATCTGGGATGTGCTGGAAAGTGGAGGACTAGGTTTTGGCACGGGGCTAGGACGGGGTGACCGCCGCCTCACCACCACAGACTGGAGGGGGCTTTTGAGAGCTGGGCTTCGCTCCCGAGGACTCAGCTCAGAAACTGCTGAGGCCCGTGACGCAGAACCAGTGCCGTAGGTGGCATCTGGCCATGGCTTCGAGCTCTCAGATGCTTTTGTATCTTGAGAGGTGCCTCCAGAGAATGTCTGATCCTTGGCCTCATCTCCCTGGTTATCCCCAGCAGCCTGAGATGGCCGGCTATCCTTGGAAGAGGACTTTTTCTCCTTTGCAGACTTGCGCTTAGAAGATTCAACTCGGCTATGGTTGGAGGAAGAACGGGAGGATGAGGAGCGCCTTGACCGGTCAGAAGACGACTTATCAGAGTTTCTAGAATGGCTCCTGGACCTTGGTGAAGGGGACCTTCTCTTTGGGGACCGGGATCTTGAACGGCCTCGACGAGGACTGTATGCTTGCCGGTAATTCTGCCAATTTGAGCGGTAGTTTCCATAGCCTCCTCGGTTATACTGGCCCCATGGATAAAAGCCTCTGTTGCGCCCACGGAAATAATAGGGCCTTCTATAGCCTCTGTTGTGACCTCGGAAATCCCGATTCTGATATACTCTTGGGTGGTTTCTTTCTCTGTTATGAGCTGGAGAATATGATCTGGAACGAGACCTAGAACTGGAATGGAAAGGAAAGAGACAAATGTTTGAATTTTTGACACAAGTGTTTTTATTCAAGAAAAATTTGTTCTGAAATCCCTGCCCTTATGTGTCACTCACTTGCAGTTTTGTTTTCAAAGCAAGGGCACAAATATTTAATCCCACTACGTATGGCCCTTACTAAGTACAAAAACATGGATAAGAATCATTTGAACAAGTGAAACACAGGTCACTTCATATTGCAGCACATTTAAAATGGAGGAGTACTTCTACAGTGACTGAGAAACTATCAACATTTTCTTAAGGTAGTCAACTACACAAAGACCATTTTAATATACCATAATAATAGCTTCCAGTTTCACAGGCACAGGGATTTTAACAGGGCTGCAGGTCATTGGAAATGAGAGAAAAACTGCAAGCTGCGGTACCTAGACAGGTACTCTGACCCCTACCCACACTGTGGCAACACTTCACACCCTGTCCTAGTCAGCTCTCTGTTTTGTGCGTGACGAATTTCTTAAGATACCACTAAGGCTTGGGATCGTAAAAGTGTAGTTACAACAGGTATACACCAAAGAAAACTTGGAGAATGCATCTGCTCAAAGCTTAAAAGAACTTACTAAAATCACATAAACAAAACATACAATATTGTTTTTTTAAATTGGGGACCTGGAAATGGTCTCACTACTTAGGCCATATTTCTGTGGCTGAGTACATGATCTTACATAGGTGCCACAAGAGGGCACTATCTGACCATAAGGTACCCAAGGACACATGAAGTTAGCGAAGAGGAACTAAAAAACCCCCCACCACCCCGGTGTGCACAGAAGTGTTGTGTTCTTCTCCAGTTAACAATATAGAACTCTGGTAGAGCAAGGTGAATTTCCAGAACCACAGGCACTTGATAGTAACCTAACTTGGTAAAAAAAAAAAAAAAAACAAAAAACTGTACATTCCTGAGCATCAGGCTTGTCAACGATGAGGAACTTTGTTTCCATCAAAAAGCCAAAAATTACGTATGTTGGTGTAAAAATCCACTGGGGTTCTTGGATCCACTTTTTCCATCTACTATGATATAGATCATTAACATTAAAAAATTACTCCTAAGCAGCTGGCTAGAAATAAGTAAAATTTACTAGAAAACTATTTCAAATAGTATTTTCTTTACATATAGAATAAAAACTCTTCAGTTAATCAGCAAGCCTTCTCATATCTGACTGGTAACAGATGCGTTTTTGTTTTTCCAAATAACTCTATTTAACAAATATACCAGTTTTTTTCAGGATTTAACAACTAAACAAAACAGTATTTTTAAGAAGAAAGTACATTCAATTTAATCTAAAGATAAAGTGGGATTGGTTTTCCACTATTTATTGCCCACTGTCCTCAGGACTTTTTATCTACACCATGAGTAAGAGCAACTGGCAAAGATATATCTTACTGCTGGCTGTTATTGTAATTAAGTACAATTAAAAAAAAAAACTTACCTTCCACACTTTTCATTTGAAAACAGTAACAATATAAGAAAAGAAGGGAGAGGCAGATGCAGATTACGAAAGTGAGTATGACCCGATTAAAGGGCTATGCTTGAGGTAGGTGATCCACCACCAGCACTAAGGAGGGTTTAATTCATGTTCCCATCCTCATAGGCTACTGCTGCTTCTGTTACCAATTACTAGTGAGGGCCCTGGGCATACTGCATCCAAAACTCGCAGTCATTGCACAGATGCAGGAAAATGAGTCTCTGCAGATTGCAAATGAAGTTATTTAAGAGATGTCACTTAAAAGGATACAGTCTGTGAAATACAAGGAAATAATCAATTTTCTCCAATTCTGTAGAACTCAGCAGTTAGTTAATTTAAAGGCATGGTTTCTCAAACTCTCTGGATAGATACTTTCCTTGCAGGAGAGGGAAAACAAAAGAAAAAACCATGAAACAGATAGGCCAGAAATAAAAACTGAACATCCAGTGGCATATTTATCTGTTTCTAAAAAACAGAGAAGTCAGACTACAATCAAGTATAAAAGCATACTTTCTAGTGGAGAAATTTCTCCAGAACAAGTCTCTTCTAGGTATATGATAGCATGTTAAAGTATCTCTAGACCTACCCCAGCACATAGTGCCTTCCTAAAATATTTTTTCCTCATTTGCCAAGTCAGTGAGCAACTGCCAAATGATTTGCAGAACAAGGAGAAAAGGACTGCCCAGAATTCCAGCTGTCATAAATACTTCAGAGTTAGTTAACATTTTTCAATTCAATTCAATTTTGTCTCTCAGTTTTGGTTGCATAGAGGCTATGCAACCAAAACTGAATAATTGGTAAATAAGTGGTAAATAATTGAACCAATTATTTAGTTTCTTCTAGTTACCAGATTAAATTTTGAAAAGGTATCTTTCATAACCAAATGAGCTAAAACTGAGGTTTAAACTCCCTAAATCAAGATTCTGGGTACAGGGTAGGAGTTACTAAGAGTCTTGCTTGTCCCATGGCTTTAAAAGCAATTTCCTGAGGTAGATAAATTTAGGGTTTCCCTTTTCAATATCCATGCATACCTACTTTTTCAGGATGGCTTCTCACAGACTTCATTTAACATCTACCTTGTTTTTGTTAAATGGTAAAAAACAAAACCACCAATCCTTTGTTTAATAGACCCCTTAGAAGTACTATAGGGCTCTGGAAATCATCAACAGTAAAAGTTTAATCACTGACTTCTGAGGTTTATTTTAAATTTCATAATCAATTCATCTAAGACAAAAATTCTAGATACTCATCTGAAATAAACAGCAGGGGTTCCAAGTGTCAAACATGACAAATCATCTCCTTGCTAATATACTTCTGAGAAAAAGAATGAAAATGCACAAAGATTCCCCTTTATTAAGTATTTAAATACACCAATATTTCCCAAACTCACATAAAGAAACTTGTATCTACTGAAAGCTTCTTATCTATCCACAAAAGAAAGTTAAAACACTTTTAAAGAATGAAAAAACCAACTCACAACACACACCAAGAGAGGAAAGACGCTGGAGGTTTGGCATCCTATTCCAAGACATAATTAAAATAGGGAAATCCACCTGAAGGTGTGAAAACTGACTGAATTAGGAAATATTGGCAATAAATTCAAAAGAAGTGTTCTTATGTTTAATGAGATAAAATGATGTTTTCAACAGTGATTTTTAAGAAGTTTTAAGATACATTTACTAAATAGATGCAGCTTGTTAGTAATTGGCACACTGTATACAAATGACTCCTGGTTAAGTTTCTAAAAGTTTATTTTAGTGAGTTGAAGCTTCTTTTCCTTGCCATGTTGTTCATATTATTAATCCTCTTAGCTATCCTTTATTTGCAGTGATGCAAATAAACTTTGGTTCAGGCCTTCAAAAATACTTTGGTGAAAAATAATCAGCTATAGAGATTTGAAGCAAGCAGCTCAAATAAAAATAAAACGTTCTTTCTTCCAAAGTGGGTGGGAAATACTATGTGCTGGCAGAGGAAAGGAATCAGGCAATCAGCATGGCCATCAAAGCTGATCTGGATTTATCGTTTAAAGAGACCTGGAATATCTTATAGCCCAACCCTGCACCTCAAGCCAACCCCCAGTCCATTTGACACTCACAGAGAAAGTCTAACAAAAGATCTTCAAACATCCACATCAACTGATGCAATGATTACCTCAATATACAAAGTCACACCCCCTTACCTCAGCCTGCGCTTCCTTGAACGAGAGAGAGATCGGCTTCGGGACCGAGACTTCGAAAATGAACGAGAACGAGATCTTGATGCAGATCTTGAGCGAGAAGAGCGAGATCCAGACTTGGATTTGTTTGTTTTTGACATCGCTGAAGAGAGGATCACTTTTCAATTACACCTAATGTAAGAAAATGCATTAGAACAAATGAGTGAGTTCCTTTGCAAATGTGAACCTCCGGACATTTTAAAAACACCTTTCTTTTAATCTGGGCAACGTAAGACCCCGCATCTATAAAAAAAAATTTTTCTTTTAAATTAGACAGTCATAGTGGTGTGTACCTGTAGTCCTAGCTATTTGAGAGGCTAAGACAGGAGGGAGTGCAAAGTTACAGCGAACTGTGATCACGCCACTATACGGCAGCTCTGGAGGAAAGAGCAATACCCTAGCTCCCCCCTCCCAAAAAAAAAAGAGAAAGTGATTGAGCATGGTGGCTCACGCCTATAATCCCAGGGCATTGGGACGCCAAGGTAGGAGGACTGTTTGAGTCCAGGTGTTCAAGACTAGCCCGGGCAACATAGCAATATCCTGTGTCTACAAAGTGAAAAAAAAAAAAAAAAAAATTTTTTTTTTTTTTTTTTTGAGATGGAGTTTTGCTTTTGTTGTCCAGGCTGGAGTGTAATGGATCGATCTCAGCTCACTGCAATCTCCACCACTCGGGTTCAAGCAATTCTCCTGCCCCAGCCTCCCAAGTAGCTGGGATTACAAGCATGTGCCACCACGCCCAGCTAATCTTTTTGTATTTTTAGTAGAGGCAGGGTTTCTCCTTGTTGGTAAGGCTGGTCTTGAACTACCGACCTCAGGTGATCCGCCCGGCTCAGCCTCCCAAAGTGCTGGGATTACAGGCGTGAGCCACTGCACCTGGCCTACAAAGTAAAAAATTTTTAAATTAGCTGGATGTGGTGGTAAGGGCCTGTAGTCTTAGCTACACCAGAGGCTATGGTGGGAATGGCCTGAGGCCAGGATTTTGAGACCAGCTTAAGCAACATAGGAAGATTCCCCCACCTCTACAAAAAAACACCTTGTTTAAATAAACTTTAAAAACAGAAAGTAACATTAAAAGAAAAAAAGATGAAATGATTCATTTTTAAAGAACCCTCAGGCCGGGCACGGTGGCTCAAGCCTGTAATCCCAGCACTTTGGGAGGCCGAGACGGGCGGATCACGAGGTCAGGAGATCGAGACCATCCTGGCTAACACGGTGAAACCCCGTCTCTATTAAGAAATACAAAAAACTAGCCGGGCGAGGTGGTGGGCGCCTGTAGTCCCAGCTACTCAGGAGGCTGAGGTCGGAGAATGGCGTGAACCCGGGAGGCGGAGCTTGCAGTGAGCTGAGATCCTGCCACTGCACTCCAGCCTGGGTGACAGAGCAAGACTCCGTCTCAAAAAAAAAAAAAAAAAAAAAGAACCCTAAATTTGTTCCAGCTCTTTATTAGACAAGAGTCAGCAGGGCGCAATGGCTCACGCCTGTAATCCCAGCACTTTGGGAGGCTGAGGTAGGCTGATCACCTGAGGTCAGGAGTTCGAGACCAGCAGGGCCAACATGGTGAAACCCCATCTCTACTAAAAATACCACAAATCAGCAGGGCGTACTGGCGGGCGGCTGTAATCCCAGCTACTCAGGAGACTGAGACAGGAGAATCGCTTGAACCCGGGAGGCGGACATTGCAGTGAGCCGAGATCACACCACTGCACTCCAGCCTGGGTGACAAGAGCGAAACTACATCTCAAAAAAAAAAAAAAAGAAAAAAGAAAAGAGTTAACTTTCAGGGTCATTTTCCCACCAAGAAACAAATTCTCTTTTTCCTTTTCTCCCCCTCCAGAAAAGAAGAGCACCTCTAAGTTGCCCTGAGAAGTTAACACCTGGTCTACAAGGTACACTTCTCCTTTATACTCCATTAGTGCCTCGGACATCTTCCCAGCAGTAAAAACTCTAAGTGCTAAAGTACATGTCCACCAAAGACAGTAAGAGTAAGGAATCTGTCAAAGATCACAAAGCTAGTTAATAGCCAAACCAGGCCAAAACTCCAGGGCCTATTCTATCACACTTCACTGCCTAGCAAGATTCTGCCAAGTAATGCCACCTCCTGTCTATGAAGGGAAAATAATAATCAAATATTTCCCCCCTCCTACCTCTCAGAATTTGAAGATCTCAGCTCAAAAGCTATCTCCTCAGAGGTTCACCCTGACCACTCAATCAAAAATAGCCACCCAGTCATTCTCTATGTCCAGTACATATCTTATTTGTTTCTTCAGAGCAAAACTCAGTATGTGAAACTATCTTGTTTACTTGTTATTCTGTCTTTAATTAGAATGTAAGCTCTATACCAACAGAAACCTCATCTTTCTTATTTAGTGCTGTATACCCAACACCCAGAATAGCAAATGCTTAACCAGTGTTTTTATTAATTCAATTTATCCTTGAGGAAGGCATTTTTAATCCCATTTTACAGATAAGAATTTTGAGGCATAGAGAAGGTAATTAACTTGCCCAAGGTCATATTGCCAAAATCCAAACCACAATTGGCTCGCTCATTCATTCATTCATTCAGACGGAGTCTCCCTATGTTGCCCAGGCTGGTCTCAAACTTCTAAGCTCAATGGATCCTCCTGCCCCAGCCTCCCAAAGTGCCTGGATTACATGTATGAGCCACCCCACCGAGCCTCACTGTTGGCACATTTAACGGCTACGTTATATTGCCTGTCTACTAGAGCAGTGTCTGGCATACAAGGGGTACTAACAAACTTGTGGAACCAATGAATGCCAAGTGTCCACCCTTACCAAGTTTACAATCTGGTAAAGGTGACAAGATATAGATAAACTGAAAGGTGGTATTTATTTCTGTTATATTCAAATAAAATACTTGAATGTCAAGAACTGTCCGAAAGACAGAAAAAATGCCTAGGAAGCTGCTATAGCTCCAGCTCACTGGGGAAACAACCAAAATCTTAGAGACATAATTTAGAGGAGGACTGAGAAACCAACAGGAAGTCAGAGACAAAAGGTGATGAATAAGAGACTGCTAGATTAGGATGCCAAGAACCCACAGTTTAAATCCCGCCAAAAAGATTACACTGTTGCAAACTTTAGCAAGGTCAAAGATATTTCAATTTGGAGCTATTTTTGGCAGTAGTGTCACTATATGAAGTCAGAATGAAGGAGTAAGTTACTCAGGAGTGGGAGGTGGAGGTGTAAACAAACAATTTACAATGAGAATATTAAAAATAAAAATACATTTTTTCAGTTGGTCTTAAGCATTATTTTGGGGTTCTCTGGGTTCACTCTTGCCAAATGGAGACCTTTATTTCTGTCACAAGTTCAGGGATATCTATCTATGTCTGCTTAGTAAGAGACTGTCTAACATTCTATTTTAACTTGGGTCAGAAATAAAAATCCATCTAGATGACTTACACAACAGGTGGATATTATCAGACTTTAAAAGAATAAAAAAGGGCAACAAGTTAGTGGAAAAGGAAACACTCAATTCAACACTCAGAAACCAGAAAACTTAAGAAGCTAATTTTCATTAAGATGAAGAAGAGCTGCCATATAAATACAGAGACAAACTTAACAATTCTGCACATATTAAGCTTACTAGAATTGACAAGTGCACTCAAGAGCTGCAATATCGTAACGCCCCCCGACCCCCATTCCGGAGTTTCCTCTTTAATGTGAACTGCAACTAATTATTTTATTTACGTATTTATTTTATTTATTTTATTTTTTATTTTTTGAGACGGAGTTTTGCTCTTATTGCCCAGGCTAGAGTACAATGGCACATCTCAGCTTACTGCAACCTCTGCCACCTGGGTTCAAGTGATTCTCCTGCCTCGGCCTCCCAAGTAGCTGGAATTACAGGTGCCTGCCACCATGCCTGGCTAATGTTTTGCATTTTTAGTAGAGATGGGGTTTCACTGTGTTAGCCAGAATGATTTCAATCTCCTGACCTCGTGATCCGCCCGCCTCGGCCTCCCAAAGTGCTGGGATTACAGGCGTGAGCCACTGCGCACGGCGCAAGGACAGAATTTATTTTCAAACTATTCTGCAGAGCCACTTGAGAGGGTAACACAAACCCATCATCCTTTTCAGAAGCCCAAGTCTTCTTGACTCAAACTGCTTGTCTAACTATCAAGCAGATCAATGGTCCTTGAAAACAGATGCGTTTTACTTAAAACACAACTGTGTTTCAAAAAATTTATCCTTACATTTATGGTCAAAACCCGATTGATACCTGGTGGAGTGACTCTGTAATCTTAGTCCTTTGGGAGGTCGAGGCAGGAACATCACCTGGGGTCAGGAGTTTGAGACCAGCCTGGCAAACGTGGCAGAACCCCGTCTCTACTAAAAATACAAAAATTAGCCAAGCGTGGTGGCAGGCACCTGTAATCCCAGCTACTCGGGAAGCTGAGGCAGGGAGAATTACTTGAATCCAGGAGGGGGAAGTTGCAGTGAGCCAAGATCATGCCAGTGCACTCCAGCCTGGGCGACAGGGCAGGACTCCATCTCCCAAAAAAAAAAAAAAAAAAAAAAACGGGGGGGGGGGGGTGCTGGGCACGGTGGTTCATGACTGTAATCCCATTCAGCACTTGGAGAGGCTGAGGCAGGTGGATCACCTGAGGTCAGGAGGTCAAGACCAGCGTAGCCAACATGGTGAAACCCCCTCTCTACAAAAAACAAAACAAACAAACAAAAAAAATTAGCTGGGCGTGGTGGTGGGAACCTATAATCCCAGCTACTTGGGAGGCTGAGGCAGGAGAATCGCTTGAACCTGGAGGGCGGAGGTGGCAGTGAGCCTAGATTGCGCCACTGCACTCCAGCTTGGGCAACAAAAGCTAAACTCCATCTCAAAAAAAAATAATAATAATTTAAAAACCCAATTGATCATAAATACAAAAACTCATTTGGTTTTTCACCGTTATCAAAAACCAACTGACCATAAATTTAAAGCCAGGCATGGTGGTGCATGCCCACAGTCCCAGCTACTTGGGAGACTGAGGCAGGAGGATTGCTTAAGCCCAGGAGGTTGAAGATGCAGTGAGCCATGTTTGTGCCACTGCACTCCAGCCTGGGAGACAAAGCACGTATCTGTCTCCAAAATAAAACATAAATAAATAAATGTG